TATTGTAAATGGGATTACCTTGAATGATTTGAATACTGAACTTGAGATAGCGTCGAATGAATATACAGCGGTCTTGGACACAGGATCAACATATTCATATTTTCCAAGGCCGCTTTTGAGCTCCCTTGGTGGAAGCCTAAATGGGCAATTTTCCTCTTCGTTGGGTGCTTATATAGTTGACTGTATTGATAATGATGATTCTAATTACATTTCAATCGATTTTAGTGGCGTTAAACTAAATGTCCCTCTAACAAGTTTGATACAAAGATATAGTTATAACCAATGTTTTTTGAGTGTTCTACAACAATCAGGCTCAAATTACATATTATTTGGTGATAATGTCTTAAGAAGTGCTTATCTTGTTTATGACTTAGACGACTTTGAAATTTCTATAGCTCAAGCTAGATATACAAGTGAGGAAGATATATCAGTTATTTCCTCGTCCGTTCCAAATGCTATCCAGGCTCCTGACTATTCATCTACATCGCTACCTAGTTCAGTAGAAGGATCTGGAAGTAGCGACTCAACATTTGGCGATGATTCTAATTCGGGTGGAAGGAGTTCTAGTGCTTCAATGAACAAAGTCTCCAAAGCCAAGCTATATGGTTTATTTATTGGTTTGGGTCTCCTAGTTCCTTTATCAGTATATTAGGGAATTGAAATTTTTATAACAATATTTTATATGAATTATGATCGTTGTTTGTATTAATATTCACCTATGTAAATAACTCTAACAATTATGACACCACTTTCCATAGTTGCCACAAAAGATATAATTTTAAAATTATCAAAAATGTGTAAAATCATTTGTTATTTTATTCAAGTGGAGAATATACTGAATACTGTAAGTAAGACAGAGATATAGGGGTTGGTCTATTCATTTTATGAAAACATCCCCCTCCCCCTAGTACTTTTCCTGTACTGATAGGATATTTAAGGTATATTTTTTCAGTATAATATTTTGCAACATGTTAACCGGAAGGCTTAAGGGCCGGGCCAAAAAGACAAAACGTAGTCCTTGTAGCTTAACGTGCATTATATCTTTTTCAAAATGGCTAGTTAGCTCCAAATATGACAGGCTTTTCTGCATTCTTTTATAACAAGCAATGGATACGGTCAATTTCTTATTCATTAGAATAAAGTAAAATAAAGCAAATTAATGAAGTACAAGAATTTAAACTTGAGCTAAAAATTAGTTTGTGGAATTTACTAACGGTTTTAAAACATTATCGGCAAAATAACTTAGACCTGTCTCAGAATTAGTACCCAATACATTACCTCTAGTGTTCGAGTATTCACAAATTGTATACTGACCCCAAGCATTATCGCAAATGACTCTGGCGCAACCAAGCTGGCTAGTTGATTTCCAGACTAATTGAGTAAAGTGTCCAGTAGATTCGTTGAAGCCTGGATTATTAAAATCATATAGCTCAATTTCGTCGTGCCAAGCGTCAACTGGGTCATGTCCACCAGAGTAGCCCGCAGCCAAATTTTCGCCATATGGTCCATTCGAATGAACTAACGTAACGTTATTACATGAGAATGAAGAAGCTGCATAGCCTCCAGCATATTCGACTAAAGTTTCATTCCATTCTAAAGATTGAACCCCATGTATAGCTCTTTTTTCATTGTGTGCGTTTAAGATATCCTTTTCAAATCCGGAAGAAGCACTCACTGCAGAAGTTGATGAAGGTGAGGCTTCGCTCGACGACGATGATGATGTCTTTTTGCAATTTAAATCGTGGGCCATAACCCATAAGTCTGAAGACCCTGTATCGACTAAAACTCCTACTTCATCTTCATTAGATCCTATTTTTATGTTAGCCAAGTAAAATGTCTGTCTGTTTTGTAATTCCATTTCTGAAGAATCTCTCTTCATGATATATGGCCTTTCATAAGGGAATAGTAGATCTCTTTTATCATTTCCTCTTAAAACCTTAAAGTCAATTTTAAATGCACCTAAACTCTCTCCGATTACTATTGCGCAAAATACTAAGGGCCTTAGTAAATTAAGGGCTTTCATGCTCTCTTCTGTGTTTTCCAACAATGAGATCAATTTTCAAGTAATTCAAGATGTATTTGTTTATATATGCATTATAGTGACAAGAAATTTAGGACTCAACGCATCACATCTTATTGCTAAGTTTTTTCGCACTGCCGAAATTTTGGTGGTTATTGTTTCATTAATTTTATGATCCTAAAACAAGGGTAATCTTAAATTTTATGCGGAAAATAAAATTAATTAAAATTCCTACTTTTCATTTCAAAACTTTTCTTGGCTTTCATGAATCTAAGCCGCCATATTTCTTAGTAGAGCATTTCCTTTACCGAAGCTCAGTGGTATTTTGGCACCGCAGGTCATAAAATAATGACGATCTTTTAAGATAGGTGAAATATCCTTCATTCATAAACTTTTATGCCAATTTGGATATTGAGATATAAGTACGATGTACATCAATCATCAATGAAATATTAAAGAAAGCTAATTTTATTCTATCTAGAATTTATATATTCTCTAGCGTAATATTGCGGTATCTAAGTTATTATATTCGTGTTTAACTTGAGTTTAAATCTAGCTACAGGAAAAACTGATATATACATGAAAAAACTACATAAGAATAACTCGTAATTTTTTTTCCAACCGTCTCGGAAATAACGGAAATAAGGGATACATGTTAAAAATAAACTATTGTAAATGTGACAGAATTTTGTATTGCAACAAGATATTACTATATTTTTAATCCTGGTGAATCGTGTAGTTTCGTCAAAAAAAAAATACTTCAAGTAAAAGATAAAGAATAGTACCCATGAAAATTATCCATAATTTAGTTATGGCACATCTGTTGCGATTGGAGCCTATGTACAACTACTGATAAACGAATTATAATGAATTATAAGTAGCACGATCAGTATAACTAATATGCGATTTATTAGAGTACATTGATGAATGGTAACCTCCAGGACTACTACTCGATTAGTGAAGTTTAATAAGTTTTGAACATTTTTCTCATAATTTAGTGAAATAATACTCATTATCAAAGATATTTATGTAGTGTCTTGTGATAATTAGAGCCTGGTCATGCTGTTTTGGTACTTTGTTAAATTATTTTGATTTAAACAATAAGTAGTTTGCGTTTAAAAAGGATTTTAACCCAGTTGTAAAGCATGTAGAATGCAGCAGCTTTCCAATAGACTATTAATTAAATCGTCACTTAGAGTATTAATTAAGCGGTAATCATAGGGTAACGATAAATTCACAATCAATAGAACAATTAAACTATCATATAATGCGGTTCATTTACTTGTCAGGGCTGACGAAGAAAGAATAAAGTCCCCGAGACTTTCCTGAACTAAGGAAGGCATAATGACAAGTATAACAAGTCTATAAGTATTATAAGTCCCTATTTTATGTTCAGTACAACAATCAGCTAAGCCTATTAATCGTAAAGTTTATTCGTCTATTGTTTTGTGAGGGTATCTCCTTGTATGCACCAAGTATTTTTTCGTATCATCATAATTCAACGTTTTTTTTTTTCGATTATTGTTCATAACTTAAAAAATTTGCATCTTCTATCTTTCGATTTTCAGGAATAAAAATGAAACCAGCGGGTCCAGTCAATTATACAGGAATCAGTCATACGGACACCACCATAAGCATTTTCAATGCCAGTTGTCACACTCAAGACGGATATCTTCAAAGAAATTTAACGAACATTGCCTACGAAGAGATTCCAAATATTATTGGTCTGTGCTTTTTTCCAAATTATTATAAGGATTATATTAAAAATGAAACGGTTGATACAGATCCAAGGTTCACCAGAATCGTGACCAATAATGAATCAATCAGCATATTACAGTCTAAGTGTTTGGGTTCAGGCGTCTCTTTCTTTAATTCACTGCTAACTTATAATATTCCTTATAGCGATATACCAAAAACTGTTGCAGAATGCTACTATCCTAACATCGAAAAGAAAACTAGCATAGCCAATAAGAATTCTTGTGGTGCATTGGTTCTCCTAATATTATTCTTCGTTGTACAGATGATGTTTCATATATAAAAATTAAGCCTATAATTTGATCCGACTATTATAAAGCTATTTTAAAAACCCAATTACCAATATATATGATGTATATGGAGGGCTATATACTCCGATTACAATGAAGATAAGAATTTATATTAGTTTAGTATTAGTTTAGTATTATTTTCTTGTATGCTCTAATCCTTTTCTTGTTGTCAATAAACTCAATTATTTGAAAGACTAATAAATATTCAAGCAAGTAAATTCCAAGTTTAACAAGAAGTTTTCAAATCAACAAATATTTGAAGTGGAACACCATATTAAATTCAATTTTAAATTAAAAAAGTTTCAAAATGTTTATATTAAAATCGTTTTACACGTATATTCATGTCAAAATCAAAATAATTTTATCCAGCTGGTAGAATTTTAAAGTATATATTGGTTTAATTATTATTATATATTAATCTTTAGGAGAGCACAAACAAATAGCGTACACAAATTATTTTAACTTGAAACGTCATCCAACATACAACTTTTTCTTATTGGTAAATTTGACAGCACTTGAAATGCTCCGTTGATATTCCCAGATTTCGGCTAATTTATAACCCTATTTTTTCGTCTTAATGTCTCTTGATACTAACATTATATGTGATGATAATTAAACTTGTTGTTGATTATCAAATTCTATCAACCAATTAATTTTTTCATCAAAATCTAAATCTAATTAATAAATGCAAGATTATGAACACAAGCCTTCAACGGTACCTGAATATTTTGACCTGGCTCTTAATCTAGATCCATTGAAATAAAATAATACTGGAATAGAAATCATTCCAGCCGATATAAAACCTAGTATGCTTGCCCCCCATCCAACAGGAAATTTTTACTTCCTAAATTTTCAAACATAATTTTTCCAAACAAAGGAAATTCACCACCAATAGAAGACCTAAATAACGCATTTTCAGCAAACGCTGAAGCCATTTACCTCCAAAATGACATTCCTAAGTAATTGAATAAGGATTGGAAGATAATGAATGCTCCTATTGCAAAAATAGCAGAGCCTATCATTGGGCCTATCCAATGATTATCCGGTGAACTTGTCCAAGCAAATATGAAAATACCAGTTGGCATACAAACTGCCCCAAATATAGCCAGGGGTATAAAAACTTCGGGATAAACCTCTTCATTTTTCAATAATTTTAAAGTGTATGCTCCATATGCGCACCATGTATAAATAGCTGATCCAATCAAACTCCCAACGATAGTACTAAGGTAAGAAACACCCATAAGTACCACTGTGAAGTTTTTTATTTCTAAAAATACTATTGGAAACGCTTCGAACTAAAGGTACATAATAGCATAAACTAGCGCAAGGTATACGTCTATTAATAATACAACTGGTTCAGAAATTGCTATTTTGAACGGTCTCCACAATGTGTCTATTGTAATTTGGCCCACACTTAAATGTTTCACTTCAATCTCACCTTCGCTAACAATATTAGGGTTACCCGTTAAAGTCCCCAATCTTTTTGCTTTCCTACATAGCAAGGTCTTTTCAAAAGACTCTGGAAGCAAGAATATTGATAAGGATAAGGCGACGCCACTCACAATACATAGACACCAAAATGTCCATCTCCGCCCTCCTTTAACCACCAAGACAGCTCCAATCAAAGGACCAAACAGCGGTCCGGCTACTGCAGCAATAGACCATAATCCTGTTCCAATAGCGCCATAGGGAATCGATAATACATCACAAACCAATGCAGGACCATTGCCAAGCCACGGAGACGCAAAGAATCCACCTAAAAATCTCAAGACACATAAGCTCGCAATATTTTCAGCTAATGCTGTTGGAATTTGTAATATCATAAATACGACTAGGGATACAACGTATATGTATGCTCTTCCTACCGTCGCTATTTCTGACATTGGAGCGAATACCATGGGTCCTAAACCATACCCAATAACAAAAAGAGTTAATGGTAGGGTTGCAACTATTTCGGAAACTCCCAAGGCTTCTTGTATTTCATATACACCAGGTGTATATATTGCAGAACCCATATATACCGCAAGTGTCAAAAAGGATATTTCGAATATGAAAAAAGATTTTTGGTAAACGGGCCAATTACGTGGATTTTCAGGATCATCTTCACCATCCCAGGTGACTATTATATCATTATTTGTAGGTTTTTCATCAAATGACGAAGTTGATAAAATAGATGATAATATTGATAACAAGTACTTTTCTGGAACGACGTAATAATTTTGTTCCTCTTTCAGTTTGCAGTAATTGCGATTTGATAGATAATATACTAATTGACCAAAGCAGCTATTATTAATAAAGTTTAGCATAATGCCAATAAAAAAGTATAGCCTATCATATTTATATGCTTCTATAAAATTGTAGGATAAGAACACTTTTTAAATAACCTTTTCTGCTATGTATTTTTTTTTTTGACCTGAATCCACAGGGTCCCTTATTTCCATTATTTTCCGAAACAAATCAGGAGAGAACTAAAAACCAGTAACACCCATTATGACAATAGAATAGAAATGAGCTATGATTTCATTTTAATATAAAAATTCTGTTCATCTTCCGTTAGTAAATTCAAACTGTTACCAATTACGGAATGCAATCTACTAACCAATTTGAACTAATTCGGCAACTATTTCTGAAGAAATAATAAGAATACAGGTCATTATATGCAATATTATCTTCCCAGCAGCTATAATTAAGTAGAAATTGAATAGTCGTCATGTAGTAATATAAATTAGAAACATTTTTTAAGCATCAAAGAGATATTAAAAAGTCAAGCAGCACTTTTCACTTGGAGTTAACGCGATCAAAATAATAATAGTACATTAGACATGATATATTATATTTGGAACCAATTATATATTGAGAATTCCCCATATTTTGAAGCTCCCATATTTCACTAGTTAAATATCCAACTTCTTTTTCGTTCGAAGAACCAGCAACAAAACAGGTTGGCATGTAATAGTTTACTTATATCACTAGACAATAATCCACAACATGAAGTTCCGTTATTTATTTGTTTAGAAAAGTCAATTATGCTCCTGGTATACTCAAAAGTAAGTTCTTTATTTATTTCTATGTTGCTTGAAATTTTAGCATTATTTCTGGTTCTTAAACAAGGAATAAGATCGTTTGCCTCTATAAATCTATGCGTCGCAGAAGACCAGTCATCATTTAAAACGACAACGGGGGTATTAAGATTAATTTCTAAAGAAGTAATAATTTTTTTCCGGTCAAACTTGCTAGTAATACTAAACAATAAACTATAAGCCCATAGAACTAAGGTTGCATAAGAAAATCAAAAGAGGAAGATAAGAACAACTATGATAAATGTTGGTAACCAATTCTTATAATGTTTTTCATTACTTACAAATTTTGGCAGAAGTGGCAAGTCTCAAAATCTGAGCACAATGTCACATTATTATTCTAGCTAAATCCCTTTTGAACCATTGAATTAGATGAGATAAAGTTTGTCGTGATTCATATTCACCATCAACTCCTGCATTTCATACAATCTTTAACGCATGAATGAAGGCAAATGAATGAGTCTTCAATTTCAAGTTTGAATACAACTTTATCATTATAAGGATGGTTCAACACGAAAGTTTCTAAATATTCCAACATACTTTCAATCTCAGCTTTTCTATTTGTCAAGTAAGAGAGATGAAATGTTGCATCTAGTGATAGCGAATGCCTTTTTCGTCTCTTGTTATCAGTTATTCCTGGAATGCAGTTCGTAAAGCTCAGTCTGTCATTTATCTCAGTAATAAATGACTTTACTGTAGAAATTAAACAATCCATAATAATATCAGGAATATATTTTGGTGATACAGCATTATATGGAGAATAAATTGAAGATCAAACAGACCCAATTAACAGTTGAGATGATATATTCTGCGAATAAAGTTGCGAGCTTTTGTTTTTTATTATATTCACTATTTTGAACCACTCATCCGCAGTTGAAGCCTTCCACAAAGATTCCAAGTGAGGCAATGGAATCTCTAGCTCAGCATATGTAATGTGATATGGGTTATTACTTATTAACGAAAACTGTGTTCCCCAAAAAAACGTCACAAAGATTAACATTTTTTAGACGCCATTTGCACGCAAGTTGGCCTTTTTATTTTCGGTAGTTGAATATTCTGAATCTTCGACTAGGGCTGAAGAGTTCTGTATGAATATCTTTTAAATAATTCAACCCTTCCGATTATTGTTACAATTGTCGATGCAAAACTTGCTGCTATTTCCACATTCCTATCAATTCCTGACCAAGACCCACAAATGTAATTTATCAAGCTTGCTTGATGAAGTTCGATATGTCGAGTCTTAGGATTATTTTCTTCAAATTCTAGCATAAGTCTTCTTCGAGATATTTCTTATAGATATCTCAAGGTTTTGTTCATTGTTTCATTCTCTATTCCACAAAAGAAAGATCCGGCACCCAAAGTTGTTATTAATAGAACACACAGGGATTGCACTAGGTTCAAATCTTGGCATATGTATAATCTGGTAACGGGTCTGAAAATATTTCAAGAAGTTAATGATAAGGACTGTCAAAGTATCAAAAGAAGGAAGATTGACAACTGGGTACAACTGGGTCATCCTTCCAAAATTGCATTTAATGAGTTTCACTTAACATGATAATATGGAATCCCTAGTTTCGGGAAGTATTTCGAATCTCTTGAATAAATTAGAACTTTAGTCTACTGTAAAAGTCAAGTATTTTACCGGTCCGTTCCGTAAATGGCCTTACATCTTTCTAAGAACTATCGTGCCGCGGAGATTTCCAAATTATCGATGTATAAGAAAATACAGAACCTCTAGTATCTCTTCTTTGTTATTCTCTATGTCGAGTGGACGCCTCTTCTCTACTATCAATTTGACAACTTTTATCTTTTCCAGTAGGACCAAAAATATTATTCGGCCCATTAATGTCAATATAATTAAAGAAATTTTCACCATGACCATCATTTACATTTTGATCGTAAACCAGTTATCCAAAATTTCTGAAATGGAATCACTTTTTTCGTCGGCAGCTTGTAATATGTCTCGAAGCGAATTCAGAACTCCAATCTAAACCCGGAGAAGTAAATGGTACAGCTTCAGCTCTATAATAAGAAAATGCTTGCGTAATATTTGATGAATTAATATCTTCTTGATGTCCTTTTGGTCATTTCCAATATTATTAGTATTTTCATCCATAAGGTTTCCTTGATCTATACTTTCTGCTGATATTTCTTGCTGTTTTTAATGCTCCTGCTCAACTCTTTCAGAAAACTTTATTGGATTAGTAAAGGTTCAGTACTTGTGTAAAATAGAAAAATAATTAATGCATTTAGCTATATAGTATTCTCAATGCATGGCCAAAACATATATTCTTGAAACAAAATTTGCATTGATCCCTTAGTACACTATTTGGAAGGAGATTCAACTGCAATTTGTTTAGTAATTTAAAATAATCCAAAAAGTCTCTTCATAACAAAATATAATCTCAGTTTAATATCTAGTTAAAAGAAAATGTACTTGTCCTAAACTAGTTTTAATACAAATAGCAGTAATCTTGATAATATACGCCCACTTTCAATATTCTTTCAATATTGGGGCACAATTTTTGGCCGTGATATCGCGCTCCTTTTTCGGAACCTAAGCTGGGGGAATAGGATCTATTACCCCCACTGCTATAACAGAACATCCCCGCCCCCACCCACCCCATCGACGAAGATGAGCTTAAAAGGAACCGAAAAAGACTGGATATTGAAGTTTACATTATTTAAAACGATAAGTGCAGATTGAAACAATGACTAGACAAGCTTACTTAGACGAAATAAGAGATTACTTATATGGTGATGCTACAGTTGCCAAAATTTGGGGGGTTGCAACGCCTGCATTAAGTGAACCACAACCACCAACTGAATTTCCTGATTATTCTAAAGGAAGCAGATACACCTGCAGAGATTCTGATTTTTGGACTTCCGGATTTTTCCCAGGTTCACTTTACACCTTATTAGCTAGAAGTGAAAAGTACCCCGAATATTTCCCGACCGAGAAGATTAATCCGGTCAAATTAGAATATGCAGCAAAATGGTGGGCTGAGGGTATGGCTAAACATAAAAATAAGACGGACAACCATGACTTAGGTTTTATGCTTGTTCCATCTTTCGAAACGGAATATTTGCGTAGTGGAAGTGAAAAGTCCAAAGACATCTTAATCAAGGGAGCAAATTCTTTAGCTTCTAGATTTGATGAAAAGGTTGGTTGTATTAGAAGTTGGGATGAACTTTTCCCAATTAAAGGGGAAGGTAGCAGAACCTCAAGCTTCGATAAGGATTTAGTTGTTATCATTGATAATATGTGCAACTTGAATCTTTTGTATATGGGAGCAGAATTGAGTGGAGATTCCCGTTTAGCAGACATAGCTACTACGCATGCTGAGACCACTTTAAAGAATCACTTCAGAGATGACTGGTCATCTTATCATGTTGTGATGTACGATAGAGATACTGGTAAAGTTAAGGATAAGTTCACCTTCCAGGGTTATGCTGATGAATCAGGTTGGACCAGGGGCCAAGCGTGGGGTATACTTGGTTACATAGAAACCTACATGTATACCAAAGATAAAAAATTCTTAGATACTGCATTGAGTATCACCAAGTACTATTTATCGCAATTACCAGAAGATGGAGTCCCACCGTGGGATTTCAATGCGCCAGACAAGCATATTCGTGATGTATCTTCTGGAATGGCTGCTGCGTTTGGTATGCTCAAAATTTACGAATGCACTAAGGATGAGGAAATTCTAAACAGTGCTTTAAAACTTGTGAATGACTGTATTAAACTTGCTTATAACAAGAAAGCTACCTTGAATGATGACGGGACTGTTGAGCTTGGTCCAACTGATACTATTTTATCTAAGTCTACATTTATTAATAATCCAGATGTTATCGAAGAATGGAGAACATTTGATCATGGTTTGGTGTATGCCGACTACTATTTCTTAATGATTGGAAATAAATTGTTAGAACTTGGTCTTTATAAATAGTTTTTATAGACATTAATTCAATAATAATTATCCAAAAACGCATTGTATACATAACCCATTAATAATATTTAAACCATTAACAAAATATAGGTTTACAAAATGCATATTCAAAATCATCCATATACCCAATAATAATATATAAATCATTAACCAAAATATAGATTCACAAAATGCATATTCAGTCTAAAAAAATCAAATCTGTTACAATATTAAGTTATTCTCGGACCATAAATAGAAGAGTATTAATGAAAAAAAATGTTTACTTAATATATATCTTAACAATTGACTAACTAAAACACCACTCACCAAATGGTATCATTCAAAAGAATGTTTTCAATTTAACCTATCTCAATCTTAATTATCTTGGAATTTTAACATCAACTCTGTCATTTGTTGCGTCATTATTTCGTCACTTTTACCAGGGACGTTACATTTGACCCTTTCAGCACTTAACTTCAAATTCTCTAATTCGTCTTCACTTGGAAGCTTTATGTTGTCCTGCCAGTGGTTCAAATCAAAAGATCTATCTTTAGGTTGAGCATATATGGCACAAGCAAATTGTGCAGACGAATTTGCTCCTATCTTACCCTCTAATTGTGGCAATACTACCTTGGAGGAAATTATGTTAGAATTTGGTTCAGATTTACAAATCCTGGGTTTTCTTTCATCTAATAAGTTAACAATGACCGTCGTATCTTTAGAAGTTGTTAAGCATGCAATAGGTTTCGGTGTAAGGGATTTCTTTTGTTCTATTTGGTTCTCATGCATAGTACTAACCGCAAACCCACCTTCACGGGTGTTGACATCCAATGAGCTATTATTATAGACGCGATGAACTCTAATATGATAGTTTCCTTTCTGAAGAATCCAAGTTTTAATTTCAATGCCATTCGCTCCACTAGGTGACCACTCTGAATAGAGGCCGTCCTTAAAAATCCAAGATTTGTTTGACTCTCTAAAAAAGAAATCCCTTCCAGTATAACTGAAACCAATCATATTATCAAGTGAAGCGGTTGAAAAGTCTTTCAAATTATTCTCCACATTAAACCCGTAACGAGAACTGTAGGCGAACTTGCTATACTTTTCAGCATGATGTCTTAAAAATGTCAGATATGGACCACTGACTAGCGCAACGGTATTACCTTTGTTGTGTGAAATTAACATACCGGGAACTCTAAGAGAGGCACTATCTAAAACCAATGGTTCTTCCTTGGAACTCCAGAAAGGATGAGAATCAGGTAAGATTAACGATGTAAACGCCTTAAGAGACCAATATGGAGATTGTGGAGAGTTATAACTTTCACACATAAACTGATTTGGGTAACTGAAACCAACGGATAAAATGTTGGTTTTGAAGAAAGATACCGGTTGCTTGGACCACCAACGCAAATTTCTTAAATAAATTCCTTTTAATACACCCCAAGGAATTATAGGTTCTTCATCGGCTTTTATAACACAGGCCAACATGCTCCAAAAACCATCGACCGCAAATCTATAAGTACAGGATCTACCAAATGGAATACAAGCCCCATCATCACTAAACCAATGAATAAATTGCTTTGCAAATAGTAATGCTCTGTTTTTATATTTCTTGCTTCTTTCGGGATCTCTCTCTTGCATTACAAATGCATAAATCATACCGTAAAAATGCAATGCAAAGGGGTTATAATAATCGATCCTGTTATTAGCACCATCACCATACCATCCTTCGTCAATATACATCACATCCAAATCTTCCATATAAGCCTTTGTAAAAGACTTGTCGAACGTCACCCCAACTTTATCTAAACCTAAGTCAATCATAATTCTAAAAAATTTCCAATTGCAATGAGGGAATTCCTTTTCCCTAGCTTTGAGCAAAAACTTGGATACATTACCTTTAGCTTCATCCAGGAGCGGATTCCAAATATGTTGTGGCACAAGGCATAATGCAAAACCAATGGCAGCCAATTCAACCAAATGCTGATCGATGTCTGTAGCATCTTTCCAAAATTCCGGATGACTTGGGTTTGTACCATTGGATAAACCCTTTCTGAATACTTCCCAGTGTTTAAACTCACCTCCACCATAGACAAAAGGCACAATACCCCACAATGGTCGAGCGAATCCTTCCAACTCTGCTGATTCCATATTGAAAAGAGCAGACGTGTCCGCCAAACTTACTCTTGCACCATCTTCAGTAAACGCAGGAATCAACGGTTCAACTTGTTGTTCAAGAGCTTGAGCAACTTCTTGTCTTGTCTTGAGTGGATTATTCGCCCACGCGTTAAAATTAGTTGAATTTCTATTCATAATGTTAATCTCTAATAATTCAATTCTTTCAAAAACTATGATGCATCGACAATTGAGGCTGTTTTATATTAAATATGATCACAATTCACGACTAACGTATATCCTCCATCAAGTTCTGTCAATTGTAATTAATAATATACAGAATAGTAGATAAGAGGAATTAGTGGGGGAGGAGTGATACTTAAAGCTATCGGAATATTTATTTGAAAAAGATTATCCTTCCGATACTAGAATATATGATTATTTCAAACAAACAAACAGGTGTATTTAAAAAGATAGACATGGTACATGGGCAAGAATACCTTGGAAAGGAAAGTCGAAAAAGTCTAATGGTGCAAAATACATTTCAAACATTAGAAAGAAAAGAGGGTAAGGCTTACAGACATTTCATCAACCGAGCCGAAGAAGGGCCTAAAATGGGATCCCACCAGAATTGAATAATACGTTACGCCCATTTTGCAGCATTAGTTATCTGATGTTAAATGATAACTGTTAACATCCCCCACTGCGTCCACCAAAACTTCGTCTACTTACCTTCCAAAAGTTTTCTCCCATTAAGTTCGAACTTATACACAATATAATAAATACTCGTATTATTCCGATTAATAATTATTTAAAAAAATCAATTAGATTATTCAAGAATACGAAACGTCAGTGTTAAAATTAAAGAAATGTCAAATTGGGATAGACTAATTAGATTCGTCGCAAAAGACGGAAAAATTTATAGAGGTGAACCAATTGTCTCAGAATCCTCATATGATATTGGGAAAGACTTTGCTAATGGAAAATCCATCAAAGCTAAAGTCGTTATTGGAAATATTTTTTCAGATGCAAAAGTGTCTGATGAAATATTAGAAGTTAAAGAATTGTTAGGACCTCTTTCTTATGAAGATGTCCCTATTGTTAAATGCGTTGGAATGAATTATATGAAACATATCCAAGAAGGTAGCTTACCTCCACCACCAAAACCTCAAATTTTCTATAAGCCACGTACCAGTGTTGCAGATCACAATGAAGCTATTGCTATCCCTAAGATTGCTCAAGAAAATCAATGTGATTATGAAGGTGAATTTTGTGTGGTTATTGGAAAAACAGGCAAGGATATCAAGGAAGAGGATGCTTTGAATTATGTTGCAGGTTATGTAGTCGGTGACGACGTATCTGCTCGTACATGGCAGTACCACCCGGATTATGCAGGTAATATTCCACAATGGTGTTACTCAAAGAGTTTTGATAGATATGCACCATTAGGACCTGCCCTTGTTTCGACGAGAGTTATTAAGGATCCACATACACTTCAACTTCAGACTAGGATTAATGGTGAACTTCGTCAAGACGCAAACACCGATGATCTCTTATTCAACGTTCAAAAGATCATTTCCTTTTTAAGTCAGGGCACAACATTGGAACAAGGGACTGTAATTATGACAGGCACTCCAAGTGGTGTAGGTGCTGTAAGTGGAAGGTACTTAAAAGACGGGGATCTTGTTGAAATTTCTATTGAACAAATCGGTACCCTTTCTCATAAAATCCATTTTATTTAGAGTATTATTTTGCAAATGGGTAAAGTAGTATATAGCAAATATTATTATATAGATTAAAAAATGTACTGTTATCACTCATGAAATAAAATCAATGTTCCAGTTTATAAGGCTTGCTGGTTGTATGAATCCGTGAATTGTTTTTCAATTAGAAATTACTGATGATATATATATTTGTAAACGTTAATACGCCAACTATATCCTTCATGAATCTTCCCTCAATCTGACGAAGTAGTTTTTTATTAGATAGGGGATCTATCGATGTGTAATCTTTTTATTAACTTAAAAAAACGAAATCTTTGATACGTCAACAAGCTTTCAAATGGGCGCATAAACTAGATACTGTGCTTGATTTCATTTTTTTTTTTAATCTTGTATAAGTTACATAGTTATCGTAGGCCCTCATAGGAAGTTTTTTACTTTCAAATTTTATACATCCTATAATAATATGAACAACTATAAATGTCATCATGTAAGAAAATCCGAATATTCTGCACCCAACCAACAGGAGTTAATAGATATATTGTAACCATTTTACTATATTTGTATATACTGGTTAGTTTTGTATCACTATCAGAATGTATATTGATTCTGAAATAAATCATTGTAAGAACCATAACTAGTTATACTAGCGATGCTGATAGTCAAAAGAGAATATGGAATCTTAATGAGTTGAAACGAAATAAGAATATAAATTAGTAATGAATTTCAGGGAAAAGATACATTTATCATCAACGAACAACAATTAAGTAGTTGATACTTAATTAAGACCGTCCTAAAGAGTTATCGGTAGGTAGATCGATCACTTAACTACTTCTATAGTGACTGATATTGATACTTTTAAGACCATTATAACGATCATATTAAATATATAAATATCCTTCCCTATATTTAAGGTATGTAAACGATCTTTATCATATTTCCAATAGTTATTTTATATCACCAGATAAGGATCTTGCAACTTAGAACATTTTTATAATTATATTTTTCTTCATTTTTAAGCTATTTTGTTCAAAGAAGATATGTTTTAATAATACAAAAAGACGGAAAATTCTTTAGATAGAGCAACATCCATTCATACTTTCAAAATTGCCTGTAGGAGAAGTAGATTTGTTAAAGAATCAAATAGGTTTAATTTTTTTTTTATTTCTGTAGAGAAATGAATTAATTACTTCCATTACGAAAATTGTTTCTGATAGTCAGTTAAGGTAATTCTATATCTAATATCATTATTGAATTTCCTTACAAGACCTACATTAATCTTTCTTCACTAATTGAAATAGTTTCATTCCAGGTTCGAATATTTTTCTCGGCTGCAAGATTTAACATTTCAATCATCTCTTGTCTATTTCCAAGATGCGAGGATCCTAAGAAACATCCGTTTTTCACAAAACTTTGAGCTTTGACTGTGAACGATTCTTCGGGCAAGCCTAAACTAATAAATTTCGCATTAACTTTTAACATACTTAAATACACATCAATTTCGAGATTCTTGGATGAGCTTGAACAGGATAATACTAAATCTAGTTTATAGCACAAACTTTGTCCAAATCCCTTCGCAGTAGAATCAAAGTAGTAATCAGCTCCTAAATTTAAAAGAATCATCTTTCTTTTTGTTGCCTCTAGAGAATACATAGACTTTGTAGCCTAATGCTTTTGCCCACATTATTGCAAAATGTCCCAAACCACCAATTCCAATAATTCCTACTTTCGAGCCAGGTCCACCAAAATTTTTCTTCAATGGAGCATAAGTAGTAATACCTGCGCAGAGCATTGGAGCTGCAGGAGCTGTTTCTAACTTTTCTGGTATCTTGAAAGCAAAATATTCATGACATCTAATATGAGAAGAATAGCCACCAAAACTTCTTGAACCATCTAGGTATTTGTCATTATAAGTGTCAATAAATTTAGGACAATATGTTTCTTCCCCTGCTTTACAAGTTTCACAATCCAAACAAGCCCACACCTGAGCGCCAGTCTACCTTTGAACCAACCCTAACTACTTCTCCAATAATTTCATGCCCTACAATCGCGGAAGCTTAACTTTACCCCAACCGCCACTAATTGTATGACAGACCAGTCCACAAATTCCACAGGCATGGATTTTGACATCAATGTCAATTTCGCCAAAGGGTCTTGGGTTGAATTTCACCTTGGTAACTTCAGTACAGGCATCTAAGTTTGTAACTGCAAATCCTTCAAATTGTTCTGTAGTATTCATAATGTTTATTTTTATTCTTTGAGGTAAACATAATAGTCAATATATTGGAAAACATCCAATATATATATGGCAAATTGGCAAAAGTATTTAATTACGAGAAGGACAAAATTTTGTCCGGTACATATAAACGGAATTTAAAATTTCCGTTTACATAGTATTGTACACGCCGCAACGTTCCGTCCGCATTTTTTTTTATTAAAAGCTGCAAATTTGAAACTCCGCTCACGAAAGACAAATACTTAAGACAGACTAATTCCCTCTGCCATTTACTTTTCTAAAATTTAAAACATAATTTGATATTATAACAATATGACTCAATCTTCAATGATTCTGACAAACGGTGCATCCCAGACAACCACAAGTATGGCTGATGAAATTAACCCCGAATTGGTTTACGAACCATGTGGTAAGAATATTTCTCCTGATCAATTTTATGGGAGTCAAGAACCAACACCAGAAGTCTTGAAATCCAAGAATTTAAATAACCTTGTTTCTGGTTGGATTAATAAGTTTTCAAAGATTATAGAAAATCTTGGCAATTTTCCAACAAAGCCTAATCTCGACGAATTAGACAAGTTATTTGCTCCTCACTCATTCTGGAAAGATCACTTATGCTTAACTTGGGATTTCCATCAATATAATAACTTAGAAAAAATCAAGGTAGTGCTCGTTAACCAGTTACCGCTGTTCAAATTGAAGAATTTTCAGATTAATCAAAACGCTGATTTAGGGCGTAGCGGTACCAATATTTCTACAATCCTTGAAGCTTCAGACAATGATCCAGTTCCAATTCAGTATGTTCAAGTTATTGTTAATTTCGAAAATAAATATGGTATTGGTAAGGGTGTCATTAGATTAATCCCTGTTTGTTACACATTGATGGCTTATTCTGTTTATACTGGTTTAGAAAGCATTACGGGAAACGAAGAAAAACTTGGTCATAAAAGGATGGAAGGAGTAAATCATGGGCAACATAAAGGAAGAGTTTCGTGGTTAGAGAATCGTGAAAACGATTTTGTTTACGGTAAAAATTCTAAGCAACCAACTGTTCTTATTGTTGGCGGAGGACATAGTGGGTTGAATGTAGCTGCTAGATTGAAGTTCATGGGAATTAACTCTTTAATTGTTGAAAAAAATAAGAATATTGGCGATAACTGGAGAAATCGTTATAAATTTTTGGTTTTACATGACCCTGTTTGGTCAGATCACTTGGCTTATATGAATTTTCCTGACACTTGGCCAATATTCACTCCCAAAGATAAATTAGGTGATTGGTTTGAAACTTACGCCAAAACTTTGGAATTGAATTATTGGACAAATAAAACTGTATCAGGGGCAGAATTTAATGACGATAATTCAACTTGGAATATCAATATTATTGATAATGATAGTGGTGAATTGATAGCTTTAAGTCCAAAGCATGTTATTATGGCAACAGGGCATTCTGGCGAGCCAAGTATCCCAACCTTTGAGGACCAACACAAGTTTAAAGGAAAAATTGTTCATTCTTCTCTGCATACAACTGGAAAGATATATCAAGGGGAAAATGCGTTAGTAATTGGCTCTTGTAATTCTGGACACGATATAGCACACGATTTCTATGAGCAAGGTGCAAAACCTACTATTGTTCAGAGGTCAAGTACCTGTATTTTTACGGCGGAAATTGGTGGACCCTTGACCGCTGAAGGACTTTACGAAGAAGATGGACCACCTACTGAGATCGCTGACTTAATTTCACAATCTATGCCTTGGAAGTTGTTGAACATGACTTTGCAGCAACAGACTAGAAGGATAGCAATTTTGGAAAAAGATGTACGCTCCTCATTAAAAGAGGCAGGATTTAAAATTGACTATGGTTATGGAGGTACCGGATTGGTGGGTAAATATCATAGAAGAGGTGGTGGGTACTACATTGATGTAGGCTGCTCAAAGCTCATTTCTGAGGGTAAAATTTCAATCAAGAGTGGCCAAATTGAAAAATTTACTGAGGATGGGGTTATCTTTTCTGATGGAAGCGAAATCAATAACTTAGCCATTGTCGTCTTAGCAACTGGCTATTCAAACATGAAAGACAGTGCTAGAAAGATTTTTGGTAATAAAGTTGCAGATAGATTACACCCAGTCTGGGGCCTTGACAATGAGGGTGAAATAAAGGTCATGTGGAGAGATTCTGGGCATCCAAACTTTTGGTATATGGGAGGTAACCTTTCGTTGACGAGATTTTTTTCCAAAAAGTTGGCTTTGAAAATTATAGCTCAAGAAAGGGGATTTACAAATCAAAAGTCTATAGCTAAAAGTTTTCTAACATAGTTTTTAACCTGAAATTCTTAGTTTTATCACTTACATATAAAGTTTGTATAGTTTAGGATTTATAAAATATGTAATTATACCCTACATCGCGAATACAGCAAAAAACATTATATATATCTTCTATGCAGCAGATAATACATTATAAAATTGACGCTGATATTATTTCGTTCTGGTAAAAAGAAAATAATTATCCTAAAAAATGTTTTCGAACGAATTGTCTTCAACACTAGGATCCCTTTCTTGACCCCATTGCAGTCCAATATGATCATTTTGAGTGTTCATATCCTCAAAAGTACAGCTATTTATATTTGACATAACCATTCCCTCCGCAGCAGAATCAAAGTCGATTCCAACATTTGAAAATAAAGTAACAGCAGTCGATGGCAAGTTATTGAAATCAAAATCAAATATGTCTTCTGTATTCTCATTCATTAGATTTTCTTCATCTTGCTGAGGCTTATTTTTCTTTAAAACTTCTATTATTGGTATAGTTAATATATTAATCTTATCAATTAAATTACTTGCCAAGCCGTTATACTTTTCAAGTTGATTTAAAGTAGTCTTAGTTATCTCTATTTCTTCTAACCATATATCGATATTTTGACCAGACCTGCAATGTATACCTTTGTATAATAAAAGTATCGATATTAAAACTGCTTGAAATATATAATATGTCGCGTACCAAGATGAAAGAGTGTCCAATTCACACTGTGATACAAAATAATCAATGGAATATATTGTTTCTCGCGCTGCATTAGAACAAAATTTAATACTTGAATCTATTAGATCCTTGGTACTCAAATCAGATTCATACTTTTTAATATTTTCATCGTTCTTGAATACTTCTGAAGTTTCCCAAATAAAGTTTCTAAACATTAAAATTTGAAGATTTTTATATTTCCATATAAGCTTTTTTCTTCTAAATTCAAACCACTTTGGGATACTCGCTGTACCATCTACGTTAATTCTAAACCATTCTGGAGGACAAAATTTTTCTAAAGCTTTCTCGACTATTTTATCATCTTCATTGAAATAGCAGGGTAAAGACGATATATATCTGTCAATTGAATTGTTCAAATCAATTAGTTCAGATATTCTTTCGCAAATGTCAACATTAGCTTTGGATAGATTCGTTAAACAAGAGTACACTTTATATGAAATAACAGAAAACTTCGCTTCCTCTTTTAATCCAGCGTAGATTGTAGGGTATGTTTTAATGAATGATTCAATGGATATACTATCACTCAGTTTTTCAACCTCAGAATCCTCTATATTTAAAGGGAATCTGATATTTATGGATTCGAAATTTGGTAAATGTATCGGCCTTCCAAAAGTAATACTATGTCCAACGTCAAACAAATAAAGGATCCACCATAATCTTCTCCTTCTTTCTACCATTAAGTAAAATTCCAGACCTGAAGAATTGTTCTGGTTTAAATTCATCTCTTTGTGTAGCCCGAAGCTAATTGCCATCCTAAAGCTTAATCCAAAATAATTTCCACCAGTGTTAGGCTTATTCCTTTTTTGAATATAATTCCCTAACAATGCACAAACTTCTAATAAATGATAGCAAGCGCACTCCATTAAGTCTATCCTTTGTAACCCCATTTTTACTCTTTTATAGTACAATAAATCTATTATCGACGACTCCCCTAACTTGCAAAATGCACCAATAGCCAATACAGTGTCTATCAAAACTTGAAATGAAATGTCCTTTATAGAATTTATGTCTTCCTTGGAATGCGTTTTAAACGATTCATATTTTTTAATAAAGCCACTTTTCTGTAGAATAGGGTACATAGTATGGTAAGTCTCGAAATATGATGTAATAAGGTCCATTCTAAAATCATTATCATTCAATAAGATTTCTGAATACTGGCTTTTCATTAGATTGATGTTATTTTGATTGTATATGGAAGACTTAGAGATATAGTTTGAAAAGTTTGTAACATCGTTATTTTGCTTATCTAGTTTCAGTAAGATTTTCAAAACACCATTACTAGAAAATATTCCGTAGTACGTAGTATTTTTGTATTCTCCATCTATTGACAATGCTCCCATACCATCGATGAAACCTTTAGGAATAATAAATGACTTCTCTGGTAAATCTTCGGGGTTCGCTGATTTATTTGTCGCAAAATCATTATCTGAATTTGAATCGTTTTCATGCCAGTAAAGATGTTCCACACCATTAAAATCTTCGTTCAACAAAGAATCTTCATCAGATACTATATTTATAGTTTCTTCGTTCTGCTTAATATTCATAGCAGGCCGTGATTTACCGCCATTCCTCAAATTATCAATTCCATTCTCCTCGTCATAGCCACTGTTAGATTGGATAGAATTATCATCAGATACTATTTTGATCAACAGCTTGACTTCATCGTCAGATTTAACAACTGTCGACAAAGCCTTTTCTAATATTCTGATTCGATTTTGTAACTGGTGATAGTGGTTTTTAGATACCATAAACCTTCGTTTGCGTGGGGTGTAACTACACGATTTTAAGTACTGAATACACTTGGAGCATTGCGGTTTTTCTCTCGTGCACCTAAGTTTTCGTTTCCTACAGAAATCGCAGGCCTTATCTGATAGATCCATTTTAATAGTCTTGATAAGATCTTTTATCGATATTTCTCGGGAGAAATATGGAGAAATATGGAGAAATATCGGTAACCATAAAACCGTTATCACGTGATAACGCAGTATTATCGTAAGGTCGTGTAAATACCTTAAATATATATAAGAATGCTTATGTATTTAATATAACCGTATAATGGTCTTATATATCAATATTAGACACTATAAAAGTAGTTAAGTGATCTACCTACATATATATAACCTTTTAGGATTTAACTAAGAATCAATTACTTAGTTGCTGTTCGTTAACTATAAATTCATCGTTTTCTTGAAGATTCATTCCCAATTTATATTCTTATTTCGTTTCAACTCATTGAGATTAACTCCATATTCTCTTTTGACTTTCAGTATCACTAGCAGACTTATTTATGGTTCTTACAATGATTTGTTTCAGAATCATTATATATTCTGATAGTAACACAAACCAACAATCTGTAATTCCTGCACTTGAGCCTAAAATAAGCTGAATTAGACGGAATTTTAAAATTCCGCTACTTGATGATACCGTTGCAGAAATCTTCCCAATTGTTTGGGAATAAAACAGTATAAATAGAAAACTGTACCATTGGAATATATGTGGGTTTAGTATCATTAAATCACTAACATGTGCTATAATTTTGATCATAAAGTTGTTATTATTACAGGGGGCCTTTCTGGTATTGGTTTAGCAACAGCCATCAAGCTTCTCCATTTAGGTGCGAAAATTGTCATTGGCGACTTGCAAGGGTCCGAAAGCTACGATAACACATTACAAGAACTTAAATCAAAAGGAGCTTCTGAGAAAAATGTTCACTACGTTCAAATTGATTCTGCTAAACATGAGGATAATAAATTACTAGTAGATTCTGCTATATCAAGATTTGGTGACTTGCATTATGTATTTGCAAATGCTGGCGTGGGCGGAAATTCTTTTGCTCATGAATTAGAAATAGATGAATGGCAAAAGGTTATTGATATCAATTTGACTGGTGTTTTCTCCTTGAATAAACTAGCCATTAGTTATTGGTTAGATAATAATAAAAAAGGAGCCATTGTTAATACGGGGTCTATTATGAGTTTTGTTGGGAATAAAGGATCAGCACATTATTGTGCTTCTAAAGGGGCAGTTAAGTTATTAACTCAGACTCTCGCGTTAGAATATATTTCCAAAGGTATTAGAATTAATTCCGTTAATCCTGGTTATTTGATAACCCCCATGTTAAAATCTGTGCCTCTTGAAGAACGAAATGCTATAACTAATTTACACCCAATTGGTAGACTAGGCGAGGCTAGTGAAGTTGCAAATGCTGTGGCATTTTTATTATCAGATGAAGCATCCTTCATAAATGGAACTTCTTTGCTTGTTGATGGTGGCTACACTGCACAATAGATTAGAATATAAATATTAAATTAGGCAAAAAGAACTTTTTTAACACATATGTAGGTTACTTAGATAGACTAATTTTTTTATTTTAATATTAAGAATTTTTATGCTGTTTCATCCATCTTACATACTATAAATATTGAGCACGACATATTTCTTTTGGTATATTACCAGAAGAAAAAGCTAAATGAGGTGATAAAAGTTGGAGACAGATCTGAATAACAGACTTTGTACACAATACCCATATCTATAAATACTAATTAAGACAACTTGAGAGTCAATGATATTGATAAATTCCTACTCAGCGAGAAGAACTTGAATTTTTTAGATATGGTTCATATGTAAACCGTAGAATATTTTTTTTGTGTTTTTCATAGAATTACAAGATTCTATGAATAGCAAGCTAATGGCATCAAAAGATCTCAGATATAAAAGTATAGAATAATTTAAATAGGCTATTTTATATTTAACAACCAACGTTAATACAGAAGCGGGATTTGATTATGCTAATCAAGTAATAATTCATATAAAGTTTAATAGTTTATCATTCACGAAGAAGGTGTAGTTATATATATATATCCGGGTAATATAGTTTATCTGGTAAAGTTGCAACAATTCAGCATGCAAACAATGCGCATTGAATCGACTTTCCTCGGGAACTAGTGTCGTAAGGGCTCTGCAAAAACAGTTCCAATAGAAACTACATTTTTTTTTAGAAATGGATGTGAAATTAACTACTCTTAAAAAAATAATATTTAGTTTAGGCCGAACAAATTATTTAATATATAGCAAATACCACAAGTTTGATTCAACGCACTAGCTATCATTTTCCGGTAAATGCAGAAAAAGTATTCCATAATTCATTCATTACAAAGATTTTTCAACCTCTGCCAATTTCTTGATATCAATTTCATACTTTTTGTATGCATCCAAGTCAACTGGTTTACTCAATGGTGGTCTACCCGTCAAAATTTCTCCAAAACCATGAACTTCTTTTAAAAGTTGTTTAACTCCAACAACATTCAATTCACTAATCATCAAATCAACCTTAGTAATAATGTACTGCAACTGGAGAGCCTTTTCTTTCTCGCCATCTTCGTACAATTTCATAAGCTTTAACATACTTTTTGGAAATATACCCGATAAACCATCAATTGCACCAAACATACCAACTGAAAGGGATGGAATCAATACTTGACCCAAGCCAGTGAATGGCCTAAAATTATTAGTCTCATAAGTTTTATTATTTCCCAATAATGTGTATACGTCTAAATTAAAATGAGTTAACTTAACAGCAACAATATTTTCATGTTTTGATAATGCCTCAAAAGTGTCAATCGTAATATTGACATTATTACAAGTGCCGGGATAATTGTAAATGACAATAGGCAAAGCAGAGTAATCAGCGATATTAAGAAAGTAGTCGGTAATACCTTGCTGACTAACTAAATTAGGTCCAAAGTATCCTGGAACCAATAAAATTATAAAATCTGCTCCATTTTTCTTGCTTTCCTCAGATTCAGTGATGACTTCTGCAATACTATTTGGAGGCATACCAGCAATAAGCTTGAATTTTCTGTCTGGAATAGCTTTTCTAAGACTTCTTAAAGCACTGTTTCTTTCTGCAGGTGATATATTAGTGGATTCACCCATGCTTCCAGAAACAACTAACCCGTTTATACCATTGTCATATAACATTAAAGCATGCTTTACTTGGGTCTCTGTGTCTAAAGAAAATTTACCATCATTTTTATAATATGTAGGAATCGGGGAATAGATACCTTTAGGCAATATGGAAGACTCAACAACTGTCATATTGTAATTTTATAAGATAAAGATTAAAATAAAAATTTAAAGAACTAAGGATATTTCCTGTCTTATAACAGACTCCAGATGCTTGTCATTTTTTTTCCTTGCCCACATTTTATAAATATTTTGGTGGGGGAAACTAAAAAATTCGGGATCAACTATAGATTTATTGTTTTTCCAAAAAGTATTTCCGATTATGTCCTCCGCATTTTCTGTACCGATCTGAACTTTGCCTTTAATTATTCTATATCGCATTACTCTTCTCGAAATCTGAAAAAAAGTACTCTCTCCTCCCCCACCAAAATGTGTCTCGCCGTGAACAACATATTTCTATTAATATTGTACAGGCTAAATTATTTGGCCTAATCAATGAAAAGAAAATATTCATATATTCATTTATTATCGAAATTATTTAATGTAATCGAGGATGTTCTTAAAGAATTCAAATTTAACGTGAGATGATTTGGCATATATATAGCTCTGTAGCTTTTTTTTTCACGAATACAAAATTTTTCACTCAAGCACTCTTGATATTTGCTGCACTTAGTTATTATTGGATCAGATATACAAATGTGTGCGATAGACATTGGTATGTTCCTTGTTTCTCGTATTAAATTTTGTCTTGAAGTTCATTTTTTTTCATCAGGGGCATTATTGTTGGAGCAATTGCGATTCCTTCCTAGAAGCCGGCAATGCCAAGTTTTAGGTTGCAAGTTTTCCAATTGGTCCTTCTTCAGCGGCGATTTTCACTTGGGTCCTTCCATGACCGACATGAAGTAGAACAACTTTCTTGTAGTTTACATTCATTACTTCAAGCATTGGCTACTAGCATATAATTGTTATGGCATTATTTTGTCCAGAATCTCTTACGTGAAGTAAGAAATTAATATTCGGTTACAATGGAAGCTAAATATTCAAATTACTTCTTCCCAATAAACTAATAATGAAGTACAAATAGTAGCAATATATTCACCATTCCTAAGGAAAAATTCAATATTTATTTAATTTAGATAAAAAAATGCGATCATGTTCAAATGAACCTATCTAACAAATGTCATGAGCTGAACTAAAAAATCATTCTTTAAATTGCTTATCATAATCAGTCAACGTAATTCTATATCTGACTTTATTTTGACAATTTCTCTCAAGAGCTTCTTTAATACCAGCTTTACTTATTGGAATAGTTTCATTCCAACAAGTAACATTCTTTTCAGCTGCAAGGTTTAACATCTCAATCATTTCTTGTCTGTTACCTAAATGTGACGAGCCCAAGTAGCATGCATTTTTCAATAAATCAACAGGATTAACACTAAACGGAGCTTCTGGTATACCGGCGCTGATAAATTTACCGCCAATGGTTAACATCGATGTATATTCACCAATGGAAAAATCCTTGGAGGAACTTGCACACGATAAGATTAAATCTAATTTGAATTGCAAGTCTTTATTCCACTCCTTCGCAGTAGTGTCAACGAAATGATCGGCTCCTAATTCTAGAGCAGTCTTCTTCTTGGAATCAGTTCTCGAGAAGGAGTAAACTTCACAACCCAAGGCCTTTGCCCACATGATAGCGAAATGACCCAATCCACCAATACCGACAATACCCACTTTCATACCTGGACGAGTATTCTTCTTCAATGGGGCATACGTAGTTATACCAGCACAAAGCATTGGCGCAGCATTTTCGGAAGACAATTTTTCAGGAATTTTAAAAGTAAAATACTCATGAACTCTAATATGGGACAGGTATCCTCCGTAACTTATGGATCCATCAGGATATTTATCATTATATGTATCAATGAGATGTGGACAGTAAGTTTCTTCTCCTGACTTACAGACGTCACACTTTAAGCATGCCCAAACTTGAGCACCAACACCTACTCTGTCCCCATTTTTGACAGTGGTAACCTTTGAGCCGACTTTGACAACTTCACCAATAATTTCATGCCCTACAATAACTGGGAGCATTGCTTCACCCCAAGCCCCAGAAGCAGTATGGACATCAGAACCACAAACCCCACAGGCGTGAATTTTAACATCAATATCAAATTCTTCGAATGTTTTTGGTGTGAATTTAATTTTCGTAACATCAGTAAAGTTTTTAGGATCGGTAACAGCAAAACCTTCAAATTGATCTCCTTGTGTCATTATAACTTGAATTTTCTTTGTATTGTAATATCCTATGTGATATAACTAGCTAGGACGAAAATGTATTGTATTTATAGGTATGTCGTTGGTGGGGGTAGGGGTGGAGTTTAATGGTGGGGTATATGATTATAGGGACATATTTTACAAGAACATTTTTCAGTAAATAAAGAAGCAATTAAAATCATTCTGAGTGAATTTATTTCTAAGTATTATCTAGTTATTAATTGGTGTCTATGTATTGAATTTTCATCAACTGACCATAAAATACTTAGTTAACAAACGATATTTGTCAAAACATTTTTATTATTCGCTAAATAATTAAGTTTTTTTATTTATACAATCCTAATTGCAATAATTTATTACCAATTACCAAGAAGTAATAATCAGCATAGACTAAGCCATGGTCATGGATATCAACGCTACAAGCAGGGTTGTGAATATAAGTAGAGTTGTTTAAGATTGTTTCGGCTGCGCCAATTTCAACAGTACCATCATCGTTTAACTTGGCATCGTTATTGTAAGAAAGGTTAATACAATCCCTTACAAGCTTTAATCCTTTCTTTAAAAATTCTTCATCTTTTTCAACTTCGTAAATTCTAATCATACCTAAAGCTGCAGCCATGGCTGATGAAACATCACGAATATGCTTGTCTGGAGCGTCAAAATCCCAAGGTGGAACACCGTCTTCAGGTAATTTCGATACGTAGTAATTAGCAATGTTCTTTGAAGCTTCTAAGAATTTTCTGTCCTTGGTCCAGAAATAGGTCTCAATGTAACCCAAGATACCCCAAGCCTGGCCTCTTGTCCATCCGGATTCATCAGCAAAACCTTGAGCAGTATACTTAGAGTCCACCTCACCTGTCTGTTTATTGTATTGAACGACATGGTATGATGACCAGTCATCTCTGAAATGATTCTTTAAAGTAGTTTCTGCGTGCTTAGTAGCAATGGTTGATAAACGGAAGTCACGGCTTAAATATGCACCTAAGTATAATAAGTTCAAATTACACATGTTATCAATAATCACTAAGAAGTCTTTATTAATGTCTTTGGGCTTTTGATCCTTCTTAATTGGAGGTAAATCATCCCAACTTCTAATACATCCAACTTTTTCATCGAATCTTGAAGCCAAGGAATTAGCTGCAGTTATCAAAATTTCTTCACTCTTCTTGCTGTTGGTTAAAACCCACTCTCTCTTGAAAGCAGGTGCAATCATGAAGCCTAAATCATGAGTAGTAGTCGTTGTGGCTCTTGCTGCCATTGGTTCGGCCCACCATCTGGCGGCATATTCCAACTTGACTTCATGAATCTTTGATTTTGGAAAGAAATCAGGGTAATTTTTACTTCTTTCTAATAATGCGTAAACCGACCCTGGAAAAAAGCCTGAAGTCCAATAGTCAGCATCATCCAAGACGTATTTTCCATCAGGGGCATAATTAGGGAATCCTGTTGGTGGTTCCTGCTGACTTAATGCAGGAAATGCAACTCCCCAGATCTTAGCAACGGTGGAATCACCATATAATTTATCTTTAATTTCATCTAAGTAGATTTGTGCGGATGTTTCTTTCGTCATTTTTGGAAATTGGTAATATGTTCGAAGGTGGTTTAGCACTTTCCAAATTCTTGTACATTTGAAGGAAATACATCTCTTAAGTATATCCTCCGTCTTCGAAGGTAAATAGCCCATTACCTCCCCACTTGATTTTTTGGTGGAGGATTTGTGGAGTAGTGCGGTTCCGATCAACTATTATGACGTCCGCATTCGCTAATTAGACACACCGATCACTTTGTTGTTATATAATATCTAGCGTCGATGCTTGTGTTGCGGAGTGAAGAAAGAAAGACGAGACTGAAAAATCGAGGCTAATCGTATTATTATAGGAAGTGTAATCAACGAGCAAGATCGAACCCTCCCAACTTAATGATAATGATTGTGCACAATTTCAATTGTAATCTGAAATCTACTTTGCGCCGTTCGAACCTTCGACTATTAATATGGATCAGAATTTACAAGGTTTGCGTATATGGATATAGCTTGTAATTATCTTATACCACTTCTTAGTTCGCATCCTATCGTGCATATTTCCGTATAATATAAATGCAACTAAGCTGTTCTGTTCATGTCCAGAATCCTATTCCTTCTAATACTTTAAACAATATTGTAGCTGGAAATCCCGTTACCCCCACTCTATAAAGGTTTATTATCTTACTCGGGTCCAAAGCTAAATCTTAATTTTCGCATCAATCTTCCGATCAAAAGGAACCTTCCCCACATACGAAACTCGTAAAACATGATTTCTATTGACTCCACTCTCTCAAAGTTTTTCAAAAGAAATTATAGTTTTAATGGGGCATTATTTTTCCGTTCACTAAAGTTATATATGTTCAGAGAAGGCTAATGCGAACAGATAGAGTTAAGCTGTTTTCTAAGAAGTAAGAAGGTAAAAGTCCTCAGTACTAGATAATATAAGCAAATAAAGTCTACAGATTAAATACACTCACTCATGATTTCTGACAATAAACTTGAAAGTAGTATAAGTGAAGTTGAGTCTACAAGTCTGCAACAATTTGATAATAATGAAAATCTCAAATTGGATGATGTTACACCAAAATTAACCAAAATGTGGTTCAGGTATCCACATCTCTTGAAATTGAATATTTATCTTTTGAGTGCTATTTTTGCGTGTATTACTTACGGCTATGATAGTAGTATGATGGGTAATTTACAGACATTACCAAGCTGGTCTAAATATTTCGACAACCCTTCTGGTGACGTACTAAGTACCATGAATAACGGTGTTTCAATAGGGGCGTTGGGTGCGATACCTTTTGCTGGTTTTATTAATGATCGTTTCGGAAGAAAGACCATAATTATTGTTGGTACCTCTTTAACCATTATTGGCTCAGCATTACAGGCAGGTGCAATAAATTATGGAATGTTTCTTGCGGCCCGTATTATACTTGGATTTGGCGTCTGTCTTTCATCGGCCGGCGCTGGTCCTTTATTGACAGAGACAGCTTACCCATCTCAGAGAGCGGCAATGACAAGCTTTCTATACGCCAGTTTCCTGGTGGGCTCGTTCCTAGCTGCATTATTTACCTGGGGCCCATATATATCGAGCATGAAATACAACAATTGGTCTTGGCGCTTGCCTTCATTGCTTCAAGCTTTATTTCCTGGTATTGAATTGATTTTAGCCATCTTAGGTCCAGAGTCTCCAAGATGGCTAATTGCTAATGAACAATACGACAAGGCATTTGAAGTTTTAACAAAATATCATGCTGGTGGTGACAAAGAAAGTCCATTAGTGAAATTTGAGATGGCTGAAATCTCGGCTGCAATTGATAAAGAGAAGCTTGGGGAGCAATTCACCTGGAATGTTTGGTTCAAAACAAAGGCAAATATGCATAGATTATTTCTTTCATTAGTAGTGCCATCGATGCAGCAGTTATGTGGCTCATCACTTACAGCTTACTATTTCCCAATTGTTCTTGACAATATTGGAATTACTGAACCTGTTGAAAAATTGAAGATAAACCTTGGTTTGACCATTTATGGATTAGCTTGGTCTCTAACATTTGCATCAATATGTGGAAAACTCAAGCGCAGAAAGTTGTTTATAACAAGTTATCTCTGTATGTCTTTGATGTTCATCGTTTGGATTGTTTTATCTGCTGTTAATGAACAAATGGACTTCAAAAATAAAGCAATAGGTAGAGCCATTATTGCAATCATTTACTTTCATTTTGGTTTCTATCACATGTCGTCTCCAATAGGTACAACATATGTTATGGAAATTGTGCCATATGCATTAAGAAGTAAAGCGTCTACCCTCTACCAAATGTGTACCAATGGGTGGATCTTATTTAACAATTATGTTAATAATTTAGGTATGGATGCGATCCAATGGAGATACTATATTGTCTTCTGCGTGTGGCTAGTTATTCAGGCTACGATAGTGTACTTTTTTTTCCCTGAAACATTTGGTTTAGGATTAGAAGAAATGGCCCAGGTTTTTGGTGAGGATATCTCAGACATGCAATACGTAGCAGATAAAGCAATCGTAGTCAAGCAATCGGAGGAACATGCATCAAAAAGTAGGGTTTACCACATAGAAGATAAACAGTTATATAACTCAAAGGATTAAGCTTAAGTTAACAAATGCTAGATTATTTATTAGATGAAAAGCATAATTTTAAATTTAGATCTTACGATTATCAAATTTAGAATATACTGATAGACTTTTGAACATGTATATATTTGTTAGAATATATCACCCCACAGACAATCTTGTGATTTTGATATATTATTAACAGATCTAAACTAAACATTACACAATACTCTTTGAGCCTTTGATTTTAAGTCTTCTAACTCTTTCTGATCTGGAATAGTCACAGAATTTAATAAGGTATTCGTAGAAAAGGAATTGTCTTTAGGCTGACCATAAACAACACACGCAAAATTAGCTGAAGATTTGGCTGGTATAGACCCTCTTAAGTGTGGCAACATTACTTTAGATGATATTAAATTGGAATTTGGATCCGGCTCACAGGCCCTTGGCCTTCTTTCATCCAAGAAATTAATCAATAAACTAGTATCATTAGAAGTAGATATTTCAGCAACAGACTTTAACCCAGAGTTTGTGATACACTGAATATTCTTCTTATACATTACTGATACTGCAAATCCACCTTCTATAGATTCCACGTCATCCTCGGTATTATTAGAGATGTTATGCACTCTTATATGGTATTTACCTCTTTGAAGAATCCACGTTCTAACTTCAATATCCTTAACAGGTGACCATTCACTATATAAACCGTCTTCGAAGATCCAGGATTTATTTTTACCTCTAAAAAAGAAGTCCTTACCAGTAAAACTAAAACCAATCATGTTATCAAGAGTAGCCAATTCAAATTCTTTTAAATTGTTCTCCACACTGAAACCATATCTCGTGCTGTAAGCAAACTTGCAGTATTTCTCAGACCAATGTCTAGCAAAATCATGGTAAGGGCCACTTGATAATGCCACAGTATTACCGCTAGCGTGAGAAATAAGCATTCCCGGTACTCTAAAGCTGGAGTTATCCAAATGCAAAGGCTCCTCTTTGGCAGCCCAGAATGGATGTGATTCTGGTAACATTAGAGGTGACATTGCTTTGAGAGACCAATATGGAGACTGAGGCGAATTGTACGCTTCACATATGAATTGGTTTGGGTAACTAAAGCCTACCGATAAAATGTTTGTTTTGTAGAACGAAACAGATTGTTTGGACCACCAACGTAAGTTTCTTAAATACACGCCCTTTAAAACACCCCATGGGATTACTGGCTCTTCGTCTGGTTTAGTTATACAAGCAATCATACCCCAAAATGCGTCAACAGCAAACCTATAGATACAAGATCTACCAAACGGTATGCAAGCTCCATCATCACTAAACCAATGAATAAACTGTTTTGCAAATTTTTCAGCTCTACTTCTGTATTTGTTACTTCTTTCTGGATCACTATCATGTTTCACAAAGTAGTATATCATTCCGTAGAAATGTAATGCAAACGGATTATAATAATCAATTCTATAATTTACACCATCACCGTACCAACCATCATCAATATACATGGTTTCCAAATCTTTGAAATATTCTTCTGTCAACGACGTATCAAATTTAACACCAACCTTTTCCAAACCTATATCAATCATAATTCTGAAAAATTTCCAATTACAATGATTAAATTCGTTCTCTCTTGCTTCAAGCAAAAATTTAGAAACATTTTCCTTCGCCTCATCGGTTAAAGGGTTCCAAATATGTTCGGGAACAAAACATAATGCAAAACCAATAGCTGCCAATTCCACCAACTGTTGCTTCATACTCAAATCTTTAATGTTACCCCAATATTCTGGGTGATTAGAATTTGTTCCATTGGCCAAACCTCTTCTGAAAAGCTCCCAGTGTTTGAATTCACCACCACCAAAAACATATGGAACAATTCCCCACAATGGCCTAGCATAACCTTCTAATTCTGCTGCTTCCATCGTGAATATTGCTCCAGAATCAGCTAAACATACCGCACCACCATCTTCAGAAAAGGAAGGAATCAATGGATCCAATTGCTGGTGAAGGGCTTGCACGAGATCATCTCTTGTCTTGAGAGGATTATTTGCCCACGCATTAAAGTTTGATAAATGTTTGTTCATTTTAGTATAATTTCCAATAATCACTGACTGAAAGAGACAAATATCGATATTTATAGCAAATGCCTTGATATTATATTCACCATCGTTAATCGAATCATTTGACAACAAAAAGAGGAGTTATTGATAATGTTTACATTTCTGGTGGGGGAAATTGATGCTTTAATCACTACCCCACGAACCGTTGAATTTTAGAGTGAATTTTTTATGCAGTGCAATAAAAAAGGTTATGAGATTAATGCAAATTACGGGATGGTGGACATTTTAATAGCCATCCAAGGTTAACTTGCAATATTGTATTCGAGCGTTATCAACAATGTGGTATTGTTTATTTAATCTTACATAAACTTGTTTTCTCAATTGCAAATTTCTGAATTTCAGCATTTTTCGCAAAAGATTCAACATAATATGTAATGAAAAATTTACGTTGACATGAACATATAGCTAAATCTAAAAAATACACGTTGTTCAATACTAATGGTCAGCGTGACGATTATACGATAAAAATGTGGCTAATATACCAACATCGTAGGTAACTTTCAATGATCCTGCGATCACGAAACATATCCATTGAATATTGTAAACAGTGAAAAAACCCGTAATCGTTGGCCCAATCACCTGGGCAAGAGTTTTAACAACATTAACCCAACCAAATACAGCTGTTCTATCACTTGACGGAACCAATGTAGCTAAAAAGACGTGCTTAGGAGCTACATCCATAGATTGGGTAGACGCTCTTAAAATCAATATTGCCATTGTAAATTTCAACGACGTTGGGAACGGTACGAGCGCCAAAAGAATGGATGAAGGTAAATGGGTAACAACCATAGTGACAACCGGACCTAACCGTTTAGTTAACGAAGTACTTAATAGTGAGGTGATACTGCTAATAATACCAGTTATAAAAAACACAGAACCCAAATACGATGCCGAAGCATCAAACTTTTCCTTTATATAGTATGATATCCATGAGGTTGATATTAATGACGAAGCAAACGAATCGAGTGCAAACAATAATGATAATTTTATCACTATAACAAAAATCGATTTATGTAATGAAGGCAAGAACTTGAATGTAGATTCTTCTTTAGGCTTTGTTTGATCTTGCTCACGGTCACCCTGCTGATCTTGTGGTTGTGGCGAGGACTCCGATTCTAATAACTGGGATGTTTCATCCTGGCCAGTACCTACTTGGTTAGAAGTTTGATCTTTCTTAGCCTGTTCGTCTGACGTCCATTCAACACGAATGGAGATGAAATATGACAAAATGATAGTAAGGAACGAAAGAACACTATAACCAAGGAAGGCTACTTTATAACTTGCGGCTAACGAGTAATCTAAATGCGTATTCATGTAATCAACTAAAGTACCACAGACAATGGACCCTACTGCTGCACAAAACGTACCCAAGAATGTGTACCAGGCATATATATCAGAACGTTGTTCAGGAGGTGCCAATGACGCTAATGAACTTTGTTCAATTGACCGGAACGGTCCAACTTCTCCTCCATAAGGAGTTAAAATTCCTAGAGCAGCAATGGCAGTAAGAAGAAACGGGTTTTCAAATAGAACAAAGCAAATTCCTGTAAGGGTCATTGCGATAGAACTAAATATCAAGACATTTTTTCTTCCAACGATATCTGCAGCTATTGCCAAAAGAAAACTTGTAACTAAATCCCCAATAAACGTTACGGTCATGAACATTCCAATAAATTGTTCTTTAAAGTCAATTTGCTTCAAATAAAGTACCAATATTAAGGAAGTTGCACCAAATCCAGTCAATCGAAGCATTCTTAATAAAATAATAATGAACACATCCTTATTAGATTTCGCTAATGTCTTCAAACCTATCTCTTCAACAAAAAAGTTCAAGTATGCCGATACGGACCTTCGCTGGTTCAAAGACTCGTGCATTCTTTAATCCTTAAAGTCACTGACAAAACCCGAAATGTATAATACTGTATATTTTCCGATACATAGATAATATTTCAAGCTCCGATAAAAAAAATCAGACTAAACCACGCGGAATTAGTTTACGCCATACTATATCGTCAATGTTAAAGGCACAGCATAAAAGTAATATTGAAAAAGCAATTGTAATTGATAAGGACTTCGTGGGTGTTCTTAGAAGTCCAGATTTTCTATTTTCATCAACCCCGTACAAAGATCATTTATCACCTCCTACTCAAAAAGTAGTATTAATTATTCCAGGGGAAGATGAAGATTATAATTCAACACGCATCAATAACTTAGCTTCTGTCTTGTCATCGGAGCTAGGTTTATACAGCTTGCGGATAAAAATACCGAATGATGAATCTAAGAGAAGTAATTGGGAAAACTTGGAGAACGGTGTTGATTACATTGATATAGCTGTGAAATATATAGCAAATGCTAATCAAGACGTTCAATTAAATTTATGGTCAATTATAGGATATTTTGATGGAGCAGCTATGATGTTTGCATGGGCAATAAAGCAAAATGATTTATATTATTCTAAATACTTGGAAGATAGAAAAAAAGCTACAATTGTTCCAAATTTAATCAATTGTTGTTCCAGGTTTTATCTGAATGCATTCAAATCGAATAATAAAACTCTCTTCAGCGAAGAGCTTGAGGAATATGAATACATATATGCATCAGTGAGACCCGAAGAACTGAAGACAGACATTGAATTAGACTTTTCGAAATTATGTCAGTTAATAGATCAAACTTCTGTATTGAGTATATATGGTTCGCGGGATGATGATATAGGCTTGGGAGATTGTGGCCACTTCGCAAATCTTCTTAATAGAGGAAGATACTCTCATCATTTGACTTTAATTCCAAATGCTGATCGTTACTTTCATGCCGCGAGCCTTACTAAGAATAATCAACTGCAACACGGCAGCATCGAAGATTTGGAAACTGATCGAATCGACCTCAATAATACAGTGAATGAAGTAATGATTGATTACTTGAGGCCTGAAAATGAAATTCAGAGGTTTTTCAGTATTAGTCTCCAAGGTCGTGGTTTATCTCGCTGGCAACTGATCCAAGGTATTAGTAACTTTAGAGATATTGGAGGATGGAGAATCAACTCGCCGCGTTCTTATGATATCGAGAAATATTTATATGTTAAGCCGAACACTATCTTTAGGTGTGCCACAATGGATAATATATCTCGAGATTCTGGACTAGAGAAACTTCGAGATTTGGGAATAAATACTATATTTGACTTTCGTACTAAAAGTGAAGCAAAAAGGTGCATTAAAGATGAAGAACTACTGAAGTTTGGATTGAGCAGGATTCACTGCGCCTTTGATCTTGAAGAGAAGCGGGATCCAAAAGATATTCTTGGAAGCTTTACCAACCTATTAACTAGCTGGTATACATATACTTCAGTATATGAAAATATGTTAGTTAATAATACTGACGTGTATAAGAAAATATTTGAATATATTCGTGATGAAGTTCCGAAAGGTAAAAAGTTCGTATTTCATTGTTCAGCGGGAAAAGATAGAACAGGAATAGTATGCATGTTAATCTTGCTATTTATGGGGGTCGACAAAAATATAATAGCACGAGAGTATAGTTTAACCGCTGTAGGGTTGAAGCCTGAATTTGATAATATTAGAAAGAAGTATTTGGCTGGAATTGGAATTTTTCAAAAACATGAAACATATGCAGAATTTGAATCTAACTTAAAGCAAGGACGTGTTGGCTGGAGCGTTGAAAAGGATGGATTTGATAATTTAGTAAGTTCAAGATGTGAAACGATGCTAGCCACACTTAGTATAATTGACAGAAAATTTGGTGGCATTGAAAATTATCTAAAAACATATGTTGGACTTACTGAAGATGATTTGAAAACAATTTATTTCAATCTAATTCATAGCGAGAATACTTCTGTTTCGTAGCGGAATTATATATTGTCATAAATGTATCGTCAGATTGTTATTATTATATGTAGATGTTCGTACTCTTATTCCCTAAAGTTAAATATATACAATAAAACTACCAGATTATATAAGTTGGATTGACGATTCTTGATATTTATAATAATGAATATTTACGTATTGCAGGTATTTTATTTACTCGACAGTGAAGCCTCGGCTGGTAAATTCAGCATTTCTATATCCTGACTATTCGAATGATCCACTTCACCTAATTCTTGTTGATCTAACATATTATCAAAAAAAGTAGTTCGTAACTCTTTCCATCTAGTCAGATATGTGGACAAAGTAACCAATAATACAGCACTTAGCACTTGTAAGCACCACCACAAAGTTGATGTTGGGAACTTACCAGTATATAACCACACAACAATTAAATTTATTATATGAATGGTAATGGCAAAATCCCATGCCAACTTTGATCTCCCAACCACAATCGTGACAAACAACACGCATAACAATGAATCAAATAACCATAATGCAAAAAGAATCAATCCCATTGCATTGTCCAGTGCTATCAACTCCCACAGGAATATCCAATCTATTTTGAAGTCATATCCGTTTAATGAGGAAATTAAATAAAATATCACTAAGGCCGTTATATAATAAAAACTTTGTAATATTACAATTTGAAATAATAACTTAGAAGGATTAGTTATATCCGCCGAATAGATGCCATTGAATACCTCTACGTATCTATTTTGAGATGTCATATTGGTGCTGCTGTTAGTAATAGTGATATTTGGTATCACCGTAGATAAAATACCAGATTATCATCGCGCCATTTATTTGTTACGACACTAAGCGACAATTTTATATCTATATTGAACTATATACATATAAATGTTATTATTTCTTATTTTTACCATTTGATTTTGGTTTTTTCTGTACACTCATCCTGTCTTGCTTGGTCTTCTTATAAGACCTCGAAGCGTTCTCTTTCTTATCTTCAATCGCTTTCCTCTTATGGGAATTGACTTTCTTACCATGTTTCGTTAATTGATGCATAACCTCGGTTTGATGCTTCTTATTCTTTTCGGATTCGAACCATGTACGCCTTGGACGTGATTGAATTTCCTTTTCATGTTTGATCATATTAGTGGCCTTAGATAATTCCATTTCTGCATGTAATATTTCCTTTGCTTGCTTTTCTTCGTCTAACACCTCTTCTATCACAGTCGCTTTGGATTCAACTATTTTATTCAATTCTTCGACCTCTTTCCAGTCAACGTTACGAGAAACGGCTTTGCCTTGCTTTGAGTTCCTTGCTTGTTCTTCACTTATAGATTTAATTGCATCCTTAACAATTGCTCTGTCTTGAGTAGATTCACCCACAAATGTAATGGATTTACCTTCTCTTCCAGCTCTTGCTGTTCTACCAACTCTATGCAAATAAATTTCGTGAGTTTTTGGCATATCATAATTAATAACAATTTCAATTTTTGGAATATCTAAACCTCTTGCAGCCAAATCAGTACAAATCAAAACTGGAACAGTTAAATTTTTAAAGTCATTAACACTAGCAAGACGCTGCTCTTGGGTCAAAGAACCATGCAATTCGGAGACTCTCATACCCAAAAGACCTAGAATAATTCTTAATTTGTGCGCAGATTCTTTTCTCGCAACGAAAACGACAATACGATTTTGTTGACTTGGATCAACACTTTTTATCAATTGGAATAATAACGCTGGCTTTAAGTGATCTCTCTTACGAATACGAACAAACTCTTGAACTAACTTAATGGCTGCAGATTTAGGTGGATCGATCATCACACGCACTGGTTTCTGCAAAGATAATTGAATTAAATCTTGAATTTTTGTATTCATTGTAGCAGAATACAATAAGGTCTGTCTTTTATGTTTTGGAATTAAGGATAAAATTTCTGTTAATTCAGCTTGAAATCCTTCATCTAACATACGATCAGCTTCATCAATTACCAAAACTTCAAGAGAATCAATCGAAAATGATGGGGAATTTCTAATATGATCAATTAATCTACCTGGTGTAGCGATGACTATATCAGGTCTGGTTTTCAATTGTTGTTCTTGTTGCCTTAAATTAAGACCACCTACTGCTAATCCGAAATTCAAATTATTAACAAATTGTCCTATTTTCTTACCAACGTCACAAACTTGAATTGCCAACTCTCTTGTTGGGGCCAATACAATAACTCTGGTTGAAGAAATTTTAGCAGGCTTATATAACAATCGTTCAATTATTGGAATCATATATGCAGCAGTCTTACCAGAACCTGTAACGGCACCAGCAACTATATCCTTACCAAGTAAAGCTATTGGAATACAGGCTGATTGAATTGGTGATGGTTTAGTATATCCCAACTGTGATAAACCCTTTAAAACAGGACGTGATAATTGTAAACTTTGGAAGGTAGTATGGAGTTGTTTTTTTGCAGTAGTTGCTTCTTCTTCATCAGCATAAAATTCGGCCATATCTTCGGCAGTATCTTCAATAGGCTTTTCCTCTTCTTCATCGGAACCTGGATATTCCTTGTCCATATCGGCTTCAACTCCTTCATCGTCATCTTCAGGTTCTTCAGGTTCTTCATCGTTAACATTTGCAGATGCTTCAGTAGCGCTCATTCCGAACCCATCGAGCGCTAATTCATCATCGTCATCATCATCACCTTCTTGTTCGTCCTCTTCGTCCTCTTCATCCTCTTCGTCTTCTTCGGACTCCACTTCTTCGTTTTTCTCATCAACCTTAACGTCAGACCCAGCTAAGTTCGCCAAACCACCTTTCCTTCTCAAGATACCATCTAAATCTACATCTCTGCTTATAGACTTCTTTGTTACATCGCCATTGGATTCTACTTTAAAATCCCATCCGTCGAATGCTGTACTAGTTTCAAATCCATCTAACGAAAATGTAAAATTAGGGTTTATTTCTTCTTGTTCTTCCGTTTTTTCTTGATCATTGTTGACATCTTTATTCTTCTTGCTTTTTTTAGACTTTGGCTTTGGTTTTGGCTTTTCCTCTTCCTTCAACTCTTGATCCACCTCGGATTCTTCTTCTAGATCAGGTATTTCATTTTCGCCCTCCGAGTCACTATCAATAGTCAAGATAAAATCCTTCTGTGAAGGTTTCAGTAAAGTAGATACCTTATTACTCTTATTGCTCTTTTTCGTCATGATAATAATGAATGATTACCTTGTCTTTTAGCCTTACTGAATTCTTCTTCAATGAGATGAGCATAAAAAATTAAATCTCATTGAAAGCAAAAATGGACAGAGCTACATAACCATTAATTTGCAGCTCATCTTCAATAGAGATTTTGTACTGAAATAAATAAGACATGTATGGTGTATTACTTTATATTACATAAAATCTATATGTGTCACCGAATGGCATTGCAAAAACCTGCGAAAAGAGGTTTCTAGAGATTACCTGTAAAAATAAGTATCTTTTGTTACATCTGATAATTCATTTAAATCATAGGTGTCATCATCATCACTATTATGTAAATGATCAGTAATGTAGTTTTCCACTTCATTATCTTCAAGGTTAAGTAATTGTGTAGTCCTTCTTATATCAATCAAAGAATTCAACTGTTTTTCAGTTTCTGCAGAAAGATCACCTTTATTAACCATTCCTTTTAACATTTTTAACCCATCTAACCAAACGTACTTATTAATTTCCGTATCGGTTACAAAACTAAGCAATTTAGTATCATCCGTGCCAACCAAGGTAAGTTTCTCGTAGGAGATGGTTCCTCTGACTGACACCGTCTTGTTATTATTCTTTTCTTGGTTATTCAGTATTTCATTAAGCTTTGTGCATTGGAAATTGGCAATTTCAGCTAGTTTGATAGAGCGAGATTCCATTTGTTCGAATGAGGGGTTAACGGTGGGCTTTTCTGAGAATTTCTTGTAATAAATCTCCTTTCTATTTGGTGAAAGCAATATGAAATAATACTTATGAGACAGCTTCGGATTCTCACGGTTTAATAGAAATTCACCATATTTCTCTGTATAGACCCACGAGCCCTTTAGTAATTGAATGGCTCTTTGTTCACAAAGAAAATCCATCGCCTCTTTGGATAGATGTTCGTTGAATTGGCTAAATTTGTTATTCCATTTCTGCTGGTGCAGGCGCTTGAGTTTTTGAACTTGAATTCCTCTCAAATTATCAATCAGACCCGATAAACAATTTAAACATTCTTCTACCGATTCGCTTTTTTTGTATTCTAATTTTTCAATATTTGGCTTTAGCAACTCTACAATCTTGTCAACATCATCGGCCGCATCTAATTGACATTTCGCATCTTGCCAAAATATCAAGCAGCTGGTCATCGAATAGTAGATCATTCTTTCCCATTTAAGAATTAGTGAATGAATATTTGGGTATTGCTCAATGTCTTCGAAGATGTTAATCCACATTTCCACAATCTTATTTATAAAAATGCTCAATGGGAATGTCTTTTTATCGTTCAACATTAGTTCTTGATGGAACTTCTTTCTAAATGTGTGAATAGGATTTCTTAAAACTATACCAAGTTCCATTGCTGATAAAATAGAGAAATTATTTGCAACATATTCTGCAGGATTCTCAGTAAAGCCAGCTTCAACATATTCTTGAGGAGTTGCAGGGGTTCCACCCTCGTTTAAAGACACGTCCAACGAACTAAAAATATCGTCTAACATTATTTTGTGAGACTGGATAGACAGGTTAAATCTTGTTACTTGCAAGAATTGGTTCAATCTATAGTATGCGACTTTTAACCGAACTACCAGGTCTGTCATTAATTCATCCTCTGGAGGTATTTTTCTGTCCACTATATGAAAAAAATCTACTCGCTTTAGTCTCTCGGCAATTGGGATTATCCCATCGTAATCGAAGTTTAATGCGGTGTCAATCAAATCCGTAACAAAATTCACGGTATAGAAGTTAATCTTGCTATCCTGCAACTGAAGTTTATCGGTGATAACGTCTATATTTTCAATGCACTCCGTTAAGGAATCATAGAGCGGTAAATAATCGTCAACCACTTCGTTAACAAACCTGAATAATGTCCCGGAAGCCATGATCATACAAGTCCTCAAAATAGCCTTATATGTCTCGATCGACATATTAAAAGAAATCACTGCCAATAGCGTTTCCACGAGCTCGTGGTCTAGTATTCTTCCTAGTTCATTTGAAATAGTATCACTACTCTCCATCACATCCAATAATTTGGTCAATATTACGATCGAGTTCACCTTTTCCTGTTTATCCTTTCCCAAAATATTGTTTTTCAATATACTCGCAAAAACAATGCTTGTTTCAGTATCTAACTGACTCGGCTCTAGGTTTCCTACTTTGTTAATATGCATTTTGAAACCACTTAGACCGCCTAGTCTCTAATTATTATACTCACTCTTGCTTAACAAATCATTAAGTTTGTGATTTATAGACCTCGAAGACCAGCTCATTATATATGTATATAAATAGATTTACACTGTTTGCACAAGAGTAATATATAAATGAAACCATCGACTACGTCTAAATGTTACGATTATGAACATAAATCAATGAAATTTTCGTATTTGCCATGATTATAAAAATTTCATTGTACTGTATATAATTTATTTGAATTTTCGTTCAAACTCCCGTCTATCCTTTTTGGCATATTAGAAAAATTAGATTAACTATTCTTGTTTTGTAGATCGTTATTTATTCGTTGATAAATGAGTTTTTTGAGAAGAGATAAATCAAAAAGCAACATATTCAATAATTCTGCTGCTGGCCAGTACAATATGTCTACGAATAATTCAAATAATCGAGAGACAACGGAAATGAATAGTAATAAGTTTCAAGAGCCACCTTCTCCCATGACCGATAATTTTGAAGAATCAGCAATGAATACAGCTACAAATCAAACGGGCGCTAATACCTCGGCTATTGGGTCTGAAAATGGGGCCAATACTAGACCTAAACTTGATAAGAAACTGTCATCGAACGGGGTATATCCTACCTCGTCGTCATCATCCATGAGTTCGAATGATAGGAACGAAGGACAGATTTTTTTCAATAGCAACTTCAGCGAACATGACGATAGAGCAATGCTGCAGGGAAATTATAGCCAGATGCAAGGAAGCCAAGCGCAAGGAAGCCAAGCGCAAGGAAGCCAAGCGCAAGGGAATCAGGTGCAACAGCAACAAAAAATGCCGGTAAGAAATAGTTCTGTGGGATATAATAATGAACCGATGTATAGTCCAAGATCTTCGATAGTATCTCTTTCTACACCAGCCACACAAAGCTATAACAACTCAGAGTTGGCTGTTAGTTCGGAGCAGAGCCAGGTTAAAGACAACTATAAGGGATTTCACGCAAATAAGCGCCCCAAAGGACTAGCAAATATTCCGCCCTTATCGCATCCAATAAAGCCCCGGTTCAGGAAGAAGGGCAGCTCATTGTTAGGGAAATTAATTTATTCATCCAGAAAAGATTCTGAAGGTTCTCAGCAATCGGGTGAGCTGGTACCGCAACATTCTATTGAAGTAGAACCAGAAGAGCCTGAAGAAAGGGATCAGCTGCGTCGAAACTCGTCGGGAAATAATGGGGGTCAGCAACAGGTCAACAAAAAGAGTGTTAGCTCCGCTGGCTCGAACTCTTCTAAACATAAGTTCAGGATCCCTTCAATATCTTTGGATCATCATCATCATCATCACCATTCTCACAAAGATGAACCTGATGAGCCTAATCAACAGCCTAGGGCTCACTCGACGTCAACCGCAGAAGTAAGACATAATAACCAGGGAAGTGATAAAAAGATGCCAACTTCTTTCGATCTAGATATGGATATCAATGAAATGCAAGGCATCGTGAAAAGTCCAAACTCGACTCACGAGAATAAGAATCCTCTAAGTGATATCGATGCTGAACGTTCTTTTACGTTCAATCTTACTGATACCCATAATAAAGCGCCGCTACAACAAACTTCTGATAATGTAAACCTTCCAATGCAAAAATCATCATCCAGCGTTTCTTCATCAGTTCCCTCAGGTAATGCGAATACGAGGCAGAATATAAACCGATCGGGAGGGGCTTGGAGAGCTCCTGATAGTTGGGATGTTAAGTTCAATGGTGCCTTAGGTTCGGCAAAGGCGGATATTAGATCACTATCTGATTCTGATAATGAAGATAAATTGGATGATAGAATTAGTAGCGCGGATACATCTTCGACTTTGAGTAATTCCATGAATCAGTTAAACGATAAGTCGACTAATAAACTGCCGAATTCACAGCAAGTCTCTCCAAGGAAACAGACTAAAAAATCAGAAGTACGTTCGGAGACACCTCAAACCTTAAGATCGAACTTGCCTGTTTTGTATGGCTCAAGTAAGATTTCGCACGTAGTTCCCACTCAATCGGATTCTAAAAATCTTACAAAGGGACCAAACCACATAGTCAGAGTGTTCAAGGAAGATAATACATTTACTACAATCTTGTGTCCGCTAGAAACAACAACTGCGGAGTTGTTAAATATAGTACAAAGGAAATTCTTTCTTGAATCAACTGCAAATTACCAGATATCTGTGTACATAGGTAATTGTGTGAAGGTATTAGAGCCATTTGAAAGACCATTGAAGATTCAGATGGGCTTATTAATGTTAAGTGGATATTCTGACAACGATAATTTAAGGATTATTGGAAGAGAAGATTTGTCCTATATTTGTAAATTTGTGGTGGAAAATATTTATTTGAGGAGTTTGACTCACGAAGAGGAAATCATGCTTTCTAAGGATTATGTTGATGTAAATATTTCTAGCTCAGATTTGAAAAATATCCCTATCATTTTCCATCAGCATACTTATGAAATTGAAAAATTGAACGTATCAGATAATCCATCTATTTATATTCCATTAGATTTTATTCAGTCTTGTACTAACTTGACTAGTATAATATTTTCTAGGAATGGGTGTTCAAAGTTTCCTATAAATTTCTTTGAAGCTAAGCAATTAACGTATCTTGACATGGAAAAGAACTTTTTAGACGACTTACCGTCTAAAATAGGCCATTTACGAAATTTGACCCATTTGAAATTAAATTCGAATCAATTATCTACGTTACCTAAGTCTTTTGGAAAATTGCAGAATTTAATATCTTTGAACTTGTCATCAAATTATCTTGAAGTTTATCCTGAAGCAATTAGTGAATTATATAATTTGGCAGATTTAGACTTGTCTTATAATGATTTATCTTATTTGCCAGAGTCAATTGGAAAATTAATTCAGTTGGTAAAGTTAAATGTATCAACAAATAAATTGAGTAAGACATTGCCATCGTATATCACAAATTTAATCTCGTTGAAACGGTTTGATTTAAGGTATAACAAACTTACAAATATTGATGTACTAGGCTCTTTACCTAACTTAGAAGCTGTCTATGCTTCAAAGAACAACATTTCGACATTTACTGATGAAATGGAAAGCTTAAGATTGCTCCATTTTGATAGGAACCCAATTACAGATCTAAAGTTTGATACTTTGTTACCAAACTTAGCAGTATTAGATTTATCAAAGGCTAAAATTACTGCAATTCCTCCCGAATTTATGCATAAAATTTCAAACATTGAAAAGTTGGTCTTGGATAAGAACCATTTAATTAATTTACCTAATGAGATTGGGAATTTGACCAAACTCACGTATTTATCTGCTTATGGTAATAACTTACAAGTGTTGCCACCGTCAATTGATAAGTTAGTATCCTTACAGTATTTGGATTTGCATTCAAATAACTTACAATTGTTACCTAGTGGCATTTGGGATCTTAAATCATTAACTTATTTAAATGTTTCGTCTAATATGCTCAGCACTTTACCTCAGCCGCCATTGTCTGTGGCGAAACGTATTTCTTCCACTGCTAGTTTTAGACAAAGTTCTACAGGCGGCTTTAGGCAGGAATTGGACTCTAGACGACCTTCTGTTCAGTCAGTAATTGAAAGTGACAGTACAAGTACCCCGATAGAACCTACTGATGCCATTGGAGAAGTTAGTAGTGAAGGGGGTCCTTATGAGGGAAGCAGTTCATCATCAGTAAATTTCAATAATTCTTCAGGTTCTTTGGCAGACAGTTTATTAGTTTTAGTTTTAGCTGATAACAGATTAGATGATGATTGCTTTGATTCAATTTCATTTTTAGTTGAATTAAAGACCTTAAATTTGTCGTATAATGATCTATTAGAAATTCCAGAAGGTGCAGCAAGAAGAATGACAAAGTTAGTTGAATTATATCTATCAGGAAATGAATTAACTAGTTTACCTACTGATGACTTAGACAATATTAAATCTTTGAAACTATTATATTTGAATAATAACAAATTTGTTTCTCTTCCTGCGGAATTGAGCAAATTAGTTAATTTGCAGCATTTAGATGTTGGTTCGAATCAATTAAAATATAATATTTCAAACTGGCCGTACGATTGGAATTGGCATTGGAATAAAAATTTAAAATACTTGAATTTTTCTGGTAACAAAAGATTTGAAATTAAACAGAGTCACATGAAGAATCCTGATACTGGAGAAGATTTTGATAGCTTATTAGTTTTGAAAAATTTGAAAGTGCTTGGTTTAATAGATGTCACTTTGACAACAACATCAGTTCCGGATCATACGATTGACATGCGCATAAGAACTACGGCATCGGAATTAGATAATATTGGTTATGGGGTTTCTGATACAATGGGTATGCGAGAACATGTTTCGAGCAGAGATATTTTCATACAGAAATTTAGAGGTAATGAAAATGAGGTTTTAATATGCTCATTTGATGGAAAGTCAGGATCACCTAATCACAGCCATCGGATATCAGCATTAGCAAAGAATCTTTTCGTTCCTAGCTTCACTAATGAATTAAACAAATTGAAAAATGAAGAGGAGATCCAAGATGCTATTCGAAGAACTTTCCTTTCTTTGAACAAAGAAATTAACGGTATATTATCCGCTAAGAAGTACAATTGCTTTAATCCTAGTTCTCAGATTAGTCCAGAATTTTCGGATTTAAATCTCCGTGATGATGCAGCAGCAGGTTGTGCCATGTCTATTGTTTATATCAAAGAAAAGAAGCTTTATACTGCTAATATCGGTGATGTTGAGACATTATTATCCACGAGTAATGGCGATCATATTTTATTAACTAAAAAGCATGATCCTACAAATAGAACAGAATTTGAAAGAATCAGAGCATCGGGTGGTTATGTTTCTGGTGATGGTGCATTGGACGGTGATCTAGCAGTTTCTCGTGGTGTTGGGTTCTTCAACTATTTGCCTCATACACATTCAGGACCGGATATAAGTGAAGTTGAGTTAACTTCTGCGGATGACATGATTATTATGGCTACCAAGGTCTTGTGGAATTATATTACGTTTGAGATAGCAGTTGATATTTTAAGACAAGAGAAGAACGATCCTATGATTGCTGCTCAAAAATTAAGAGATTATGCTATCTGTTATGGTGCGACTGACAAGATAGCCGTAATTGTTATTACTTTAGGCGAGAAAAAATCCAACAAAATGAAGTTTGGAACAAATGCCTTTTATAATAATTTGGGGCAGGAAAACGATGTATTTGCAAAGAAAAGAAGGGACAGATCCCAACTTTTATTGGGCGACTCTACGTTAAGAAGATTGGAAGAAGAAATAGAACCACCAGAAGGTATATTAGCATTGGCGTTCACCGATATCAAAAATTCTACTTTATTGTGGGATTCATATCCTGTTGCAATGAGATCTGCTATTAAGATTCATAATGCTATTATGCGTCGTCAACTAAGGATCGTTGGGGGTTATGAAGTTAAAACGGAAGGGGATGCATTTATGGTTTCGTTTCCATCGCCTACGGCAGCACTATTATGGTGTTTTAATGTTCAACAGCAGTTATTAAAGCAAGATTGGCCTACAGAAATATTGGAAACCGACCATTGTTGCGAAGTTACTGATAGTAAAGGTGAAGTAATTTTCAGAGGATTATCTGTACGTATGGGTATTCATTGGGGTTCACCAGTATGTGAGCTTGATTATGTTACTCGGAGAATGGACTATTTCGGCCCTATGGTTAATCGTGCGTCGCGTATTATGGCTATCGCTGATGGTGGCCAAATTGCGGTTAGTTCAGACTTTTTAGCTGAAATCAGGGCATTGTATAAAATTCATGATGACGTTATCAGTGGTGCGACAACGCTTTATGATGCTTATCAAGGGAATGTTCGTGGTGGTGAAATAATCGAAAGAGAACTACGTTCCATTGAAGAAATCAAATGGTCATTTTTTGAATTAGGTGAAAAGAAGTTAAAGGGTTTAGAAACTCCGGAATTGGTTACCTTAGTCTACCCAAAAAAATTAGACGTAAGATTTGAGATATTCCAGAAGAGATTATTCCACATTGAAGATTCACAATCGAGCACTCGAATTGTTGGAACCTTGCCGGTTGACAGCATTTATGGTTTGAGAACAGTATCTTTGAGATTGGAGAATATTTGTTCGTGCATCAATGGCGGTGTCCACGTTAATGAAGGATTCCAAATGAATTCACCTGATCTTATTTCTGAAAAAATTAATTCCTCATTTAAAGAAAGTGATCTAATGGGGCTTTTGAACCATATAGTTACTAGAATCGAAAATTGCGCAGCAACATTGCATTTAAGACAGCAAATGAGCTTCTTGGGTGATAAAGGAGGTTATATTGACTTTAATAAAATTCAACCCATTTCTAATCTCTTGGATGATCTTAAGAATTTGATAGAAGAATTCGAACAATACAAGACGCTCCGGGAAGGTATTTAGATCTTATATATTTGCAAGATATTTTGGTATATCCGTGAACTGTAAATAAGTAACCTGCATATAATAAATAATAGTATACTCGAGAATAAAATGATAGGCGGATTAGACAGATGAAGACTAATATATATAGCGTAAGAACAGAAGTAAATAAAGGCGACACGATGACAACAAATGAAGGTTTCGAAAGAGGACATAGAAAGAATAAACTGTCTGCATCTTCTTTGCCTTTCTTGTCCTCATACAATTCGTCGACTTCTATCTCTTCGTATATCTCGCCTACAAGCGATTCAGATTACAAAGGTAATAGTCCTTTAATCACACCGTGCATAAGAGAACCATATTATGGACAATCTCTCGGAATGAGATCGAATTCTCAGATGACAATAAATCCGGATACTTGTAACGGACCGCCAGATCTAATTCATTGGGGTAAGTATTTTGGATCTAGATCGTCGCAATTTTTGAATAATGATTTCATATCTAAGAAGTGGAAAATAAACGATGAATCATACTCAAAGGATGAAGATGGATATGTGGGTTTTTATTATTATGCTAATGGTATAAGCTTCGACAGAAGCGAAATTACTATTGAAGATTATATTTGTGATATAATTGGGTTAGAGAAAAAGGATGAAGAATATACGTGGAAGAAAGATGCTAACATTGATTTTTCCACTAACAGTAAAAGGGACATCATTGTAACGTACTGTACCTACAATATATTCAGTAAAGCTGACTTACGTTCAAAGTTTAAAATCCGTACTCATGGGTCATCTAAGGCTGCATCAGTTAAAATTGAAAAATCTTATCAGATTATTCCCAACAGTTTGGATTCAAGAAATAGAAAAGTATATTCATTCAGTCTGCAAACGATAAAAAATTTATCTTCTACTTTTTGGGAAGAGTTGACTGTATCTCAGATAGTACGATTATTTAATCACCTTGATAATCCTGATAAGCAAATCACTGGTTTGGTTAGCTATGCGAACTTAACTAGTTCAAAACAAGTCATAATTAAATCTGCAAAATTATTAGTCAAGTTTTTGAACAAAGGTAACATGACTGAAACAGATCCTGCTATTGGGAGTATAACAGGGACAGGCAATAGTGGAGAGTCTAATAAGAAGACCAATCAGTATAAAAATTCTATCGTTGATTCCTTACTAAGGATTTGCAATTTAGATACCAGCGGTGAAGTGAGTGATATTACAATAGGTGAAATAAGACGTAGATACTATATTAACATGGAGGAGGTTGGAGAATGGGATATTGTTATTTTGAAAATACTTAAAGTTCGAAGTGGCTCGAACAAGGAAACAGAATTCATTAGGTTGATACATAAACATCTTAATTCTATCAGTATTCACAATACTCAACTGGCATTGGTTTTAATAGAACAAGTTAAATTTCTAATATCGAAAAAAGATTATAAAACTGCTTTGAAAATAGCGAAAATTTGTATTGAAATACTTCCACTTGATTTTGAGACTTGGTATAATTTAGCATTATGTTATATTCTTGTACAAGATTATGCAAATGCTTTACTAGTGATGAATTCCATTCCTATCATTTTATCTCAGAAATTAAAAAATATGGATACTGATAGCGTTGCAGGCGTTAAGGATATATATATAGAGACATTTATTAACAGACTTAACTATAATGAAGAGGTAATCTCCGAGAAAACGTTTGAATCATACTTCCCAAGGCCTAGATCGCATGCTTCTAATTATCCGAGATATGTCTCTCTATTGAAGAAATCTGTGCCAGATGATGCATTGGTAGATGAAGGTTCGATTCTGATGATTTGGAACGATTTGTTTTTATTCAATTCACATCTTCGTCGTCCTATAAATGGAAATCAGTTTTATCAATCTCCCCTTATGAATAGTTCAGCTCGTGAATTGTCGTCTGTTGATCCGAATCTTATCAGACTATGTGGTCCATCCTCTGCGAAAACAATTCTCTCGGCACAATCAGCTGGTACACCATCATCATCGATCTTGGACTTTGATAGGAAATCTACTTGGGGAAGATGCTATGATCTATTGTCATTTCTAATTGCTCTAGTTGGTTGGGACGACCTTATCAGGATAAAAGAAAGAATTTTTAAAAACCTGAATGTGATATCTGACAAGTCTAGACCGGAATATGTCGTTAACAATAACGTCAAGGAGAACACTCAAGTTGTATGTGAGAGTTGGCTAGATCAATTATTCTTGATCATTTATGAAGATTTAAAAAGTTTAATGCTTATCACTGCACATGACAAGGAACAACATCATAGTGCTATTGAATGGGAAATGTTAGGCTTATTAGGCTGGTCAGTGAAATACAATTTGAATGAGTCTATAAGCTCATTAATGACAAGTGTTATGGGAACAGCTGCTCTGGGAGGATTTGATTATTTTGGCACCGTGCAGCTACTCGAGATATATGACGAGTTTATATTAAGTGAGGTTCTGGATTCTAACATAAGTGCATTGCATGATGATTACGAGTTAAAGTTGCATGTGCATAAGTTGATTTTGAATCTATCAGAAGAAATACACGATGAATTTATTAGATCATTAGAAGAAGACTATTTGACATTAGATTTCATATTGCTCAATCTTATGAAGTTAATAAGTTGGAATGTGAGATGGTATCAGTATGTTTCGAATTATCTAGTAACAAAGATATTGACAAAGTTATGTACGAAGTACGACCTGGTCTTCATTCGGAGTAAAATAAGGGTAGTTTTTGAACAAAACAAATTAAATACTGCATTAAAAGCGAAGAATAAGAAGAATAAGTTTTCTTTAAGTTCAATTTTGGGATATTCTTCTACAGCGCAACCTAAAGTACATGAATTTTTAGAAAGCGATACAATTGTTGATTATACAGAAAAATTAATTGGATGGATTGATGAAATTAATCTGCTGGCGTCGACAAGATAAACAGATTCGTTATAGAATATATAATAATAAATACTCAACGTCTATTCGGTTTTCTTCAAAGTTTTTGGTTTTCCTAAAACCTTCTTTCTTTGCTTGATCATGTATGTGTATAACATGTAAAAGCCAGGCAAATAAGTAACTAACATAGCTTTCAAAAACCACGAGTACAAATAACCGACAACATCTTGAGCTTCATCAAGAGATAAATAAACCATAAACATTTCAGACATAACACCCGTTGGATATAATACAAAAAATAATGAATAGCGAGCCCACGTCAAATAATATGGTACGTTACCAGGAGAACGCAAATTAGACGCATAATAAGAGTATCTAATTATTTCAGTAATTGACCATGATAAACATAATGTAATAAAACACCAATGAACGTTTGCAGGCGAATCAGGTAACAATTGACAAATCCCCAAGACGATCAATAGTCTCGAAAACACCTGGGTTACTGTAGTAAACAAGGGAGACTTTACATTTCCCGTAGCCGAGTTATAAATTTCCACAACAGCAAAACATTGGATGATCGTGGTAACTTTGTTTGTCATGTCAAAAAAGTAAGGTTGACCCAAAGACAAACTCAAGAAAACAGTATTAAAAAATACAATTGACCACAATGAAGCAGAAATAGAATTATATGTAATTAACCATTTTTGGGGAGTGCTTTCAAGCTTGGTAGATGGCATCTTAAGTTATTAGTTTTTGATTGAATACTAATTAAAGAATAGAATCAAAAGTCTGAAAATTCGCTCGGTTTTATACCACAGGATTTTATCCGGTTATAACCCAAAATCAAAGTTTTCTATACGTTACTATTTAATTTAATGAAAGTATCATTAGAGTCAATTAATAAGTATATAATAGATAATTCATTGTAACTTTTTAGCATTTTTGACATTCAAGACTTTCTTTCTTTGTTTAATCATATATCCATATAATACGACAAATCCTGGAATGTACATAGTAAGAGCAAAAATTAGAAACCAATAATAGCGGGACCCACGTACAGAGTCCAAACTCAAATAAACTACGTACAGTTCACTGAATAGGCCAACTGGATACAATACGAAAAACGTGGAATAACGTAGCCAAAGTAAGCAATAAGGAATGTCGTTCTTGACTGATTTGGCTGAAAAGAAACTATATCTGATAACTTCTGTTACTGACCACGCTAACGATAAAGATGTATAGCTCAAAAAATGGAAATTTCCTTGAGATTCGGGAATGTAGTAGCTTATACCAACAGTGATCACTAACCTGGCTAAAAACTGCAATAATACAGTTGGAATAGAAGATTTGACAATACCCAATAATGTGTTGGAAATCTCGACAACTGCATTGAAAACTTGAACCAAGACAAGAGTCTTATGAGGGTAATCAGTATAGCTGTGTGAAATGTAAACACATTCTGCGGCAGACGTAATATCAGAATCATGATTCAAAAAAATAATTGCATCACGTAATGTCTGAACTAAAATGACAGACCAGAGCGAAGCCGAGATCACATTGTAAAGTGCTAGGTATTTGTCCACAAACACAGAGTTAGACATCTTATTAAAGCCAATGGATGAATAATGAAAAATTGTGGTTGGAAAGCCCGATCGCACTTGAAGATAACCAGCGAGAAGTTACATTATGTCTAAAATAGCGTTTACATATGAATTCATTAAAAACGCCGCTTTATAAGAATAAACATATAATATATAAATATATACAAGATTGACATAAAAGTAATAGCTTTTGCGCCTGTAATTAGCGCTATTAGCCCCTGTATTTACTCAAAATGCTAGATAATCCTTCTTTATCTGCTGCAATTAAGCATTGGTCCCAGTCTACAATCAATGGTGCTTGGAAAATGTCAGACGGATTAACATCAGGTTCCTCTGTTTCAATCAATTTGTTGAACGATTCGTAGATCATAGCATATTCGCCTTCGCTAAATACGTTTAATCCGCCATTATCCGGACGGATTGGCGACTCAACTGTAATCTGATTGTTGATTTCACCAGACTTCTTACCGTACATAAATGGATAACAATTCCTCAAAGCCTGCTTACTAGCTCTATCTTTCAAACAGCTGTTGGTTATCAAAAGGAATTGGTCATATGTTGGCATCTTATTAGCCATGAGATCAACCTGGAAATAGTTCTTATCGTCATTCAATTTATAGTATGCTTTATCCAAAACCAGATACAATTCATTGGAAAGTGATACTTTATTATTATGAAATATACTAATTGTAGCAGGAGAGTTTTGTAAGCTTCTGAAGAGTGACATCTTAATGGATAATTGCTCTATAAATATCCCCAGATATGGGCAAATAAATAGGGCTTTATATACTACGGAATCATCTTCCTGCAGCTTCCGGGGTGACTCTAATGTCTCTAATGTCGTTTATAATGCATTCATACTATCATAATCTGGACGACATTTTCGCTACATCAAAAATTATCAAATTTACGACTAATAGGTATATTGGCGGGTAAGAAAACATGTGCCGTTTCATGATATATAAGGGCCGTGAGCCCATGGTACTATCAGATTTATTAACAAAACCAGCACATTCTATCATCAACCAGTCTTTTGATTCTAGACTAAGAATAGATATGCGAAACCCCATAAATGGAGATGGATTTGGTGTTGGGTACTATTCGCTGAAAAACCAACCATGCATATTTAAGGCAATAACGCCAGCGTGGAACAATGTGAATTTGAACAACTTGTCTATGTGTACTGAGTCACATTTGGTGTTTGGACATGTTAGGGCGTCGACGCAGGGAGTATTGGCAGAAACAAACTGCCATCCATTTTCATTCGGGAAGATAATGTTTATGCATAACGGGGGTATTCTGTCGTTTAATTTAATCAAGAAGAAGCTAATTAATCACTTGGATGATCAATTTTTTCTTTACATCCAAGGATCAACCGATTCTGAATGCTGTTTTGCACTCTTTTTGGATACCTTGTTAAAGATGGGCTATAATCCTTCAGACAACTCAACAACTTTCTCACATACAATCTTGAGGCAAGCATTACTTACAACGATCGAACTTATCAAGAATTGGCAAACCCACACAACTGATGAACCATCATTAATGAATTTTGCCGTTACAGATGGAGAGCTGATCGTGGTAAGTCGTTATATTACATCCAAAACAGACGAAGCCGCGTCGCTTCACTTCAGTACGGGATCTAAATTTTTTGAATATGAACCAGGGTTATTTAAAATGGAAAGGTTGAATAGATCTCAAGACGTAATCTTTGTCGCAAGTGAACCGTTGACCTTCGAGAGAGGTGATTGGATTTGCGTACCGACAAATTCTACAATAACTATAACTAAGAATAATACGGTTCTAATGCATCCAATTGATGACGAATTTTATGATGGCGGCATGATTGAAAGATCATCAGGGTTGGCTATGAGTAAGGGCTTAATGGGCGGTGTTCCAACTAAAAGTCACAATGAATCAGAAATATCGTTGGAGAATGAAGTAGATTCTTCAATTGCCGATTTACCTCCTTTAGAAAGAGAAGGAAGGAAAGCAAATTCAGAATCAGCGATCGTTTAAAGAATACAATAATAAAATTTATTTAATATCAAATATATAAAGAAAAAGACAGATGCAAATCTTACTACCGTGCGTAAAACTCATAAAATGTCATAATAATATATATGTCATAATAATATATATCAGCAACATAAATCAATACAAATTCATTAAACCATAGTCAAGTCAAAATTAAAGATAAAATACAAAACAATAGAAAAAGGCAAATAATCAACTTCTACTTGCAGATCTAGATAATTTATTACCGTTGGTTCCCTTCTCATTAATTTTACTTTCGTTATCATCATCAAGAATTATCTCATCATCGCTGTCGGACGAACTGGAACTAGAATCTTCACTAGATATTTCATCATCTTCACGACTGGACGCACTGAGTAATGATCCCTTGGCATCATATAAAGGGTGGGATTTCTTATACGATAAACCATCATCATTGGGGTCAATATATTCATCTGTTTCCATTTCATCATCGTCGGTTTGTATATTTATATCACCTGGAACTCTTTTGAACGATTTTTTCTTTTCAGAAGACTCTTCGTCGCTCGGAGATTTGACGGAAGACAGTATTTCAGTAGATGCTGTATTTGTAAGTTGTTGGGACATATAGTTTGTAAAATGGTCGTCATCATCTTCAGACGATTCGTCACTTGAATTTGACTTTATTGTGTCTGCATTCTCATTATATTTATCTTCTTCATAATGTCCATCGTCCTTGCTACTCTCTTCAAAACCACTTCCTATTATATCATGGTCAGTTTTGGGATCAAGGAGTAAGCCTGGCTTGAAATCATTTTGCTCAATTATTTCACCAGTACCTTCATCAAAAGTGTTAGATGCATCTTCGTCCTCTTCATCTTCTTCACCGCCACCGAGAATTGCGTTATACTTCTCTCTTGTATCATATAATACATGACTGACATATTCCTCCCATATTTCATCTTCAACCTTAGAGTCAATTAATTCACTCAAGGTATGCGTAGGGTATAATTGAATGAATTTCACCACTTCCTCAGCGATCAAAGTTAAGTGCCCCATAAAGCCTAGTCTTAAACCATTGTGGTTGTCTTCGAAATCAGTGCAAAGCTTTTGACCTTCAATAATTTTGTTCGTGATATCACCATAATGAAATAAATCAATAGCAAGAAATTTATTAAATCCAATATCCATCGATCCATTCAATACTTGCTGCACTATATCGAAAACAACATTATGTAAGAAATTATTCCATGGGAATTGAAAAAACATTGATAAAATGTTGGAAATGATCTGTGTATCATATAATGATATTTTTAAGAAGTCACCAATAACAGGGTTTGCTCTTATTTGTTCTTCTGACAAATTTGCATTTGCATGAGGTTCTTCTTCATCGTCCTGATCTGGATTTTGATATTGAATCATGGTGTCATTATCAGGGTTGAGTTTAGAGTTAAACGAATCTATTGTATCATTAGCGAAATCATCATCTTCATTGTTGTGACGAGAATTCTTCACGTCATTATCATTTTCACTATCTGTCTTATTGTCATTACTACTTTCATCGTTAGGCAAGACAATAACTTCGTTGTATTTGAAGCTGACAGGATCAAACTCTTTCATTTTGTTCCTCAATATATCTCGCTCCTTAACGACGTCAAAACCCTTATTGTCATTTAATAATGCCATATTTGAACAATGCAATAATTCAGCTATCAATTCGCAAATCTTGAACCTTTCAAATCCTAGCGGTTTTATTTCACCAAATGGAGTTTTTAATATGGAATTTGTGTTGCTGTTTTCATTCATTAACAATTTATTGAAATCTTCAATTTTATTGCCAAATACCTTAAGCAAGTGACCCAAATAGATCGGGTCTCTACCAGTAGGAGGGTGACTTTCTAGAGTGATATATAAAACAGGTAAAATGTCATAGTCCGAATTGTTTTTTCTGATTATTTCTATAATAATACCGACACCATTAGCTAAGGCATAACCGCCTTTTAACATTATTTTACACAAACGGTCCATTTGGTCATACGAAACTAACTCTCGTGTTAATTCATTAGGTCCAATGGTTGAGTTATCTGTTGTTGAATTAGCTGAAATGGTAATTAATGCCTTTAAAAAATCTGCCGCAGATGACTGTTTGACTAACAAAATGTCATAATTCTCTGATACGTTATCATCACCAGTAATATCGAGCGAATTAATCAAATGTGTGATGAAATCTTGATTCTGCAAGAAATCAATAATTCCTGTTGAGTTATCAGGCTTATCAGTTGAGATTAATTTGAGAAGGAAATCCATCAATGGTGGATTCGATAAGTGATTTATAAATTTCTTTACCAAATTAGGCTGGTTATCTATAAGATATGTAATCATCTCGTCACATTTCATGTCTAATAAATGCTCCATAATTTTCATAAAGTAAGTTGACAAGTTGATCGAAAGGGGTTTCTTTGAATCCAAAACAGACCATAACTTATTCAAGTTCTCAGTGGATTCCATAACGGTGTCAGTCAAAGACCACACATCAGCACTTAAGATTTCTGCTGCTAAGGTCGCATGACGAACAGCTCTGTCTTCATCAGTCTCAGTGTCGGTTTCTGCATTTTCCTCGTCGTCATCATCTTCCCCTTCTTCGTTTTCATCATCCTCATCATCATCCTTTTCATCACTTTCATCATCCTGTTTCACGTCTTCATCTTCTTCGTGTCTCTTCTTTTCTTCGACATTATCAATATCGTGCGCCTTCTTGCCTAAAGTGTCCTTCTTGTCATTTGTCTTCCCTTCAGGTATATCCTTGCCATTTTCTTTTTCCTCAATTATTGCATCAGACTCCTTAGTGTCCAATTTCAATTTACTCACATCTGTGCTTAAAGAATCGTCAATGTTCCCTTCTTCAATAACTAAATCAACTAATAAGCTCAAAACTTCGTCCTCCCTCAAAAATTCTAATAACATAGAATTATTGGACAACAATTCTTGTAACAAATCATTTTCTTCCAATAATTTCAATAACAAATCATATGTCTTAGAATTCGAAGAATTATTTGATTCTTGATCATTTGCATGATTTTCTAAAAGTGTCGATATGTTTGACAATGACGAAAGTCCATTACTAAATTTCCAAAAAGAGCCCGACATTATCAAATCTTGAAAAAATAGTGTATTAAAATGATAGTTTGTAGATGGTTAAGGGCTCTATTGGGCTAGTTATTGTCTTAGTTGAACCTTAATATTTGATTGTATATTGATTTTATCTCTGAATGTTGGTATTACACCAAAAAAAATTTATGCTCGCAATTACACAAAATCCGTGGTCTTGTGTAACATTTTTTTAATTTTTTTCCGTTAGAAATTTTTCAACATCCAGTAGTAATAGAAGCTTGTATACCTTGACTAGGAAACAAACAATAGAGTGAAAAAAATGTTTCGTTTGGCAGTACCTACGTTGAGAAATAGGGGCATAACTTCCAGTTATCCTAATTTATTTATTCGTACTTTGTCTGGAACATCGCAAACCACTCCAATTAACAAACAAATACCAGACTTAACTACTTTGAAATTGGATTCAATCGGATCTGATAGTTTATACGCAATCTTCAAACTCCATAATATCCCATACTTGGTAACCAAGGGCGATAAAATAGTGTTACCATTCAAATTAAAGGAAGCTGAAGTGGGAGATCTGTTGATATTGAATGATGTTGTTACATTAGGTTCGCCAGA